AGTTTAGCTCAATGAGACCTTCATGCTAAATAGGCTAGAATTTTTAACTGTCTTATAAAGGGGTAGTGGGTTAAACAAAATCTGCAGAAATTATTGCTTAAGTTAAGTGACTGCAGTTCGATCTGTGTGGACTTTATCTCAGCTCTGTTCCACTCAGTTTAGACATTCCCCAATTCAGTTCTGTTTACATTATCCCAGTATGAAATTTGTCAATCTGTATTTTGTACAGGCCTTTCTCTGGCTGTGGTTTGGGGCTTCAAGCTATCTCCTGATGATGCACTTTCAGCTATAAGAGCTGATAGCAAGGAGGGGGAAGTGGCTTACAAAGAATTGATCTTTTTGAAATTTGCTTTAGCGACAGCAGTGCTCTCTATAAATGGTGCTTCTGGGTGCCCTAGTGGCATTTAATTATGTTAGTTACATCTGGTTTTTTATGTGAATGATTAATAACTCTGTCTAGGGAATGGCTGCTGCTGACAAACTGATGTTATAGGTTTTGAAACTGTAACCATCTTATTTTATTACAGGAGAATAGTCAGCATAATTATGGTGGTTGTGATAATTATTTTACCCATTGCCTCCCACAAGGTCTTAATTTTGCCCTTGCTGTCTTAATGTTATACAGCAAACAGAACATTCAAATATTAATATATCAGCGATGTATTTGTGGTGCAACGACAAGCGTGAGACAGACTTGGCACATAATCTCTGTGTCTATTTGTTATCTTTAAACCAGCAGTCCTGCAAATAAAAGAAAAATTATCTGTGTTGATTAATTATAATGTTTTTATGGTCAAACTCAGGGATTTTCCTCTGGCTAGATCATTTTGTTTCTACTTTGCTCATTTCCAAAGATGGCCTCTGCAAGATTTGACTGCCCAGATCTCCATCTTTACTCAGGTTGTTAAAGGTAGTTTTTCATTTGTGGGCCAGTGAAAATGTTACTGTAACCTGATTAAGGTTTTCCTCTAAAGCACTGGAACCCAGAGGCATCGTCAGCCCTCTTCTAGAGAGCACTGCTTGACTATGGGTAGAGCTTTCTTTCTCTACTGTCCCATAGACTTTACTGTCCCCTCCTTCCACCTAATGTGTGTGATTTACTGCATGCTGGAGTGAGGCTGTGTGTGCGTGTTACATGTAGACACTGCATCGCATTCCTTAATTAATACTGTTGGAGAGGATAGCCACGAGGTCAGCCACCCAAAAAATCAATATTGATTAAGAAAGGTGTTGAAATGAGCTGAGTCAGGCCTTTCTACAATTAACCAGTTGTACAGTAAAAGGCAGTTTTACCATTTATATTTCACATTGTCATTTCCCTGCAATATATCATTCGATAGCAGTGGCATTTTTTTCTGTACAGTGCTAGTGGATTGTGGAATGCACAGACTGGATGACTTGGGGATATTGGATCTTCACTCCCAGCAACTCTTGTGTCCCTGATTCACTGTAGTGCCAGTGTTGTCGTTGCCACTGAATTATGCATGAGGCCTTTTTCCCCCCCATGAAGTGTTCCCGCATTACATAACACTTGTCTTCTTTATTTTGCGGTTTTGGTCTGGTTGTTTAGACTCACTGGCGATGCTCTGTAACAGCAGTAAGTGTCACTGTGTTCTGAGGCAGCGTCCCCTCATTTTGGCAGGCAGCCTCTCTCTCTCACTGTCTCTTTACCTCTCCTCTCTCCTGAGCTCATTGCAATGCCCGTGTTCTGCAGTCTAAGTGACCTTCAGAATACATTTCCTCTGCTCCTGCTCCCCTCATTGTCTGTCCCACACTCTGTGATGAAACCACCCTTTCTCTGGGTTTTATTTTAGCTGTTTAGATCCTCCCCTTTAAAAGCTCTCATGCAGACAGCCATAACATATTAAAGAGCGAGTGTCAAAGTGTGTGTTTCACTCAGGAGGGATGCTAACTTTGTCACAGCAAAAGAGGGGAAAATGAGAGCAAGTATTTGTGTGTTAGTGTGTCAAGATGTTGGAGAACACAGTTTAAGAAAGGAGGTTAAATGGTGTGTTGGCATGAATGAACGTGATAATGTGTGCGTATATTAGAGAGTGAAGCATATTAGAGAGAGTCAGACCAGTGAATACTGCAGCCTCAGCTGGATGCAGTGGATCAGCTGCTCCCTCCATTCCTACCTCATTTCTCTTCTGTCAGCCCCCCCTCCTCCCCATTCTCTCTGCCTCTATTCCCTCCCTCCCGCTGTCTGTGCACCTCTAGCTTTGGTAGCAGTAGTCTTGAGCATCCTTGCTGCTGCTGATGCTGCTATAAATATCTGCTGGTAGCTATAGAGCGGCAGAGAGCAGCAGGCAGGCCAGAGGGAGGAGCAGGGGACGGGACAGGACATCTGAGGAAGAGGTATTGAAGATGACAGGCTGTCGAGGCCGAAAAAGAAGAAGGGGGAGAAGAGGGAAGCTGCTTAGTTAGCTTTAATAAAGAGGAAGAGTGTGTGTTTTTGTTTGTTCTCTGTGGTTTGGTTATTAGCTTATGCTGCACTTGGAAGTCAAATGTAGGTCTAAACTTGATCGGGACTATAACTGCTGGCGGCACTGCACTGGGTTAAGCTGAGTGAATGTTGGGCCTCAGCAATGGAAGAGTGGAGTTTCCTTCTCAGCCTCTGAAACCGAAGATTTGCATGCACCGCTCCTGAACTGAAGCCCATCCACGTTGCTGGCACTTTAGTTTCATGCGGACATGTGGGCCGGCATGGGCCGGGGTGGGGCTGAGATGTCATGCTCCTGTGTTGCTGGTGGTGCCTGAGGCCTGAGACAGTGGAGCTGGACAGCAGGAGAGTGGACCACCATGTGTTGAACTGCGAGGCCGCTGCTTCCACCACCATAACAGCTGGTTCCCTTGACCAGTGGGAGCCAGAAACAACTAACAGTGGCTTGCAGCCCTCTCAAAGGTCTGCTTAATGCTGCAGTTGGGAATGCCTAGCTTTAAGCTCTCTTGGCTTATCTGAGAAGCCTGAGAGAGTTATTTTGGGGGGCTTCATAGGTTTGGATTATAGTCTGGTCTGCGAAAAGGAAATAATGGAAACTGAAGCTGTATGTTTGCCTTATGGTCATTTTAGTGTTTAGTTTGTTGTATTAACAGTTTTAAATTGACAATATACTGTTACATAGTAGCAATAATACATTTATATCCACAGTAGGATGTTTGTGATGATTTCTTTTCTTGAAGCAGTTTGAACAACATTTACCCATCTAACCTGCCTGTTTGTACATTTGTATGTTTATTGCACAGTGTGAAGAATTCGAGCTATAGTTTGTCATCCTACCACCCATACAGCAACAGTTATGACTATTCAGACCAGACCAGGCAGAGTGAGCGCTCGGGCCTCTGTGGGCTCTCCAACCTGGGCAACACATGCTTCATGAGCTCTGCTGTACAGGTAACAAGCACACACTTAGGAAGCCCTGCTGTTCTTGGAAATTATGAAAAGTTATTTTAATTCTCTGCCAGTCATCAAAGGTTTGTTCATAGTGTTGCAGAAATATTTGACTGTATTTTGTACTCATAGACCTGAATTATGATGTGTTTGTGCTTGGAGAGACGATATTTCCCAGGATTATGGGGTTGTACAAGGAAAAAAATTATTGCCTAGGAGGATTGAAGCTGTTCTGAAGGCTGGTGGTGGTACAGCACCATACTACGTTTTTTTGGTCACCAATCAATATAACTACATATTATGATATGCATTTAAAATAACAGCGATTGCATGAAAATTTGAAATGCAGACATTATGATGAGTGTAAACCCATCTTCTGCTGATAATTATCCTCTCCTTCTTTTGCACCCCATCAGTGTTTAAGCAATATCCCTCCACTGACGGAGTACTTCCTCAAAGACAAGTATACAGACGAACTGAATGAGGACAACCCGCTGGGCATGAAGGGGGAGATTGCCAGAGCTTACGCCGAACTTATCAAGCAGCTGTGGTTGGGCAAATACAGCTATGTCACCCCAAGGCCTTTCAAGGTGACCATCTGAATAAAACGTGTAGAAGGAAAAACACTAAATTCTCTAAGCATAGCAAAGCTCTAGACATAACAAAAGTATGTGTTTGAATTGTAAAGCATACTTTTATTCCTACTCTGAAAGATGCAAATGCACAAACAGGAAAGAGCAGACCAATTATGGCCTGACAAGTGTGTAAGCCTAAGGATTGCCAGAATGGACTAATCTTTGTGATTGTATAGGCTGGTGAAAAGTTATTGAGCAAAAAAAAAAAATCACAGTTTTTAATCATCAAATTTTGAAAGACTGCAAGGGCTAAATGTCTGGTGATCTACAGGTTTGCAGGAGGTTGTGAGTAACATGGTGCACGAGTACATGAAACACTGTATTTGCATGTTGGAAAGAACTTTTCAATCTCAGAAGACAAACTGCTGAATGACTACTGAAAGCACCTTAGTATGTCATTGTGAGAATATGTAGACTCATTTTATGGATTTCTAACGTTGAGCAAAAAGTATCCTAGATTTTCTTTTTTATGTGTTTTTGTGTCTCTACCTGTCATTTTTCCCCCCTCTGTGTGTGTTTTGCATCCTCCAGACCCAGGTGGGCCGCTTTGCACCCCAGTTCTCGGGCTACCAGCAGCAGGACTCCCATGAGCTGCTGGCCTTCCTCCTGGATGGACTTCATGAGGACTTGAACCGCATCAGGAAGAAACCCTACATCCAGCTGAAGGATGCTAATGGAAGGCCTGATAAGGTGAGACCAGCAGTGTATTTATTTTGGTTTTCCACCTTTTCTGTTTATCACAGTCTGTAAAAGCTGGTTTGTGTTTTGCTGTTCATCACAGGTGGTAGCAGAGGAGGCATGGGAGAACCACATCAAGAGAAATGACTCCATCATTGTGGACATCTTCCACGGCCTTTTCAAGTCTACCCTGGTGTGTCCTGTGTGCGCCAAGATTTCTGTGACTTTCGATCCTTTTTGCTACTTGACCCTACCACTTCCCATGAAGAAGGAGCGGACACTGGAGGTCTATTTGGTCAGACTGGACCCTCTGGTCAAACCCACACAGGTAACATTCAACCTCACTAGGTGTAGCATTATGATTTTATGTGAAAACAGTAGGTAATGGCCATGTGTTTCTGTTTCAGTACAAGCTAACAGTTCCGAAGGTGGGCTACATCTCGGACCTGTGTACCTCCCTTTCCATCCTTTCTGGGGTTCCTACTGAGAAGGTATACACATCACAGTCGGCTCTGCTCTGGGCAGCTAATGCTGCTCTCTTATTAATTATCACATTATAATGCTGACTAATCTTAGAAAGTACAGACCAAAATAAGCTGTTCCTGTCCACCCAGCTAGTGGGGAAAATGTTGTCCTTTTCCTTTAGATCAAGGGAAATGTAAGGAGCTGAATCTTAACCGTCTCAAGTCTGACATAAAAGTATACTAAATAGCTGTAGGAATAGTTTCACATATCAGTTTAATCATCCACATTTTTCAAGAGATTTCTGCCTTTTTTCTTTCTTGACTGACTGTTTTTGTCTATCTCTTATCTTCCAGATGATTGTAACCGATATCTACAACCATCGTTTCCACAGGATCTTCGCCGTCAACGAGAACCTGAGCAGCATCATGGAGAGAGATGATATCTATGTGTGAGTGTCAGGCTTGGCTGGCAAGCGTATATTATTTAAATTATCTAGAGTTTGATTATAACATCAGCCTTATCTAAATTGTGATTACAACCAGATTCCAGTCATGTCACATTTTTGGCTTTTGTTTATCATATAAAAAAACTGTTTTAAAATTCTAATTCATGTTTTGCAGCATTAAGCTTTCAGAAAGCTTTATTTATAACTGACTCCAAGGTTTCTCTTGTAAACCTATGTGGTTTCACTCTATTGCTGGCTGAATTTGTGACTTCAGAGTTTTAAAGCAGAGTACTTGGCTGTTCACCAATTTAAATCCCTTTATTTGCCAAGGATATAAATATGCAGTAATGAGGCTGGCACTTTTGACTCCTGTTGCTGTAGCTTATCCAGTGTAACTTCAGAACTGACCACACTTCTCTGCAGATTTGAGCTGGCTGTGAATAGGGTGGAGGATACTGACCATGTAGTGATCCCAGTACACCTGAGGGAGAAGTACAAACAGTCAGGCTACAACCATACCAGCACACCACTGTTTGGACAGCCCTTCCTCATTGCTGTCCCCAGAACCCTAAGTGAAGACAAACTCTACAACATGCTGCTCCTCCGACTCTGGTAGAGCCACACTTTCCAGTGTATAAATGTTACTATTACTGTGGGGAAACTGGCTCAAGTAACCCAAGAAGCATTCAGCATTTATATAGAAAGACAACATTTAACTTATTTGAGAAAATAAAACCAGACCAATGTTCAAAAGTTGTTAAAAAGTTTTTGTGTTTTGTAGCCGGTTTGTGCAATCTTCAATAGATGAGGAGGACTGTGAAGAGACGCAGCTATCCAAACAACGCACCATCAATGGTAATGCCACTAATGGACTTTTGGAGGAGGGGTCACCGAGTGAGTCACTAACACCCTCATACACAAACACATTAAAAGCAAGTTCTTTTCCTGTAAAGTTTTGACCTTTTGCAATGTCTTTTTTAATTTATGCCACATGTTTAAAGTCTTTTTTTTCTGTAGAAGCAGCAGAAGTGTCTTAAAATCTCTCATTGTTTAGGTGAGATGGAGACCGATGAGCAGGATGACGAGTCCAGTCAGGATCAGGAGCTGCCCTCTGAGAACGACAACAGCCAATCAGAGGACTCAGTGGGCGGGGACAATGAACTGGAGAACGGTGTTGTCAGTCCCCAGAACTCCATCAAAGGCCAGCAGTTGGCTGGGCACAACAGAAAGAGACTTTTTACATTCCAGTTCAGTAACATGGGCAAAAAGGATTTCTTGCTCATCAAGGAGGACACCAAGCAAATTCGCTTTGATGAGGGACACCTTCGACTCAGCGGTAGGAAATGGTTAAGATGCGAGTAAATGAAGAATCTGCTGTAGGAGGAAAGGAAATATTCCCCGAAGAAAAGTATTGTCAGACTCAGAATTTGGTACCCAAGAACTGGAGATTATTGCACAAAACCAAGACGAGGGATTAAGCTGGGATTTTCCAGATATCCCAGATGAATTTAGCCCTGGCTCAGCTGCATGAAAGCAGGTTAAATTAAGTTACTCTGGAGATGCATTCTTTGCAGCTAGCCTGCTTCAGACCAGGCTGACTGCAAAGGCTTTATTAATCCTGGTGCCTCTGGTCAGAAACAATGCATTTTTTACAGTTAAACTGTAAAATGTCATTGTTATTGATTGCGTTTATGATTGTCAGAGGTTTGATTAATTTAATCAAAATCAGCTTTATTGGCCAGGTGTGTCGGACACAAGAGGAATTTGACTTTGGTACATTGGCTCTCAATGTGCATGTACATATATCCCCATGCAAGGGGCAAGTAAAGAGCAAGTAGGCAAGTAAACGGTAATAAACCAATAGTAAACCAATTTATTGCAACTGCTGATTAGAGACAGGATATCTTCTAAGGTATCTTCAGTGAAGTCAGTATATACTTCTATATATGTTTTTCTTCCTTTACAGTGGCCTGCCATTTTTATAAAATGAAGTCATAGCTATATACATCTATACACACACTCACACACGTATCTCTTTCCACAACACTGTGGAAGTGCTGTCACTTAGGTTATTTTTGCAGACACTAAAATCCTTAAAGTTGACATGAGAGTAACATTATTTATACTGGCTATGTTGAATACATAAAGACTGTGCTTGCAATAATAAAACTAAGTTTAATCATCTAATGTTCAAATTTTATTTTTAGCAAAAATATTATAGTGGCCATTTAATGTTTAATCTTGGGTACCTCTACATTAGTTTGGCACCCATCATAACTCCAAATAGTCTGTAATTATTTCAGAATGATAAAACCAGAGAGCATCTTCCTAAAAATGGGAGGATAGGTTGTGAACCTGTACACCTCATGCTGCCAGTGTTGTGTCACAAGTGGACAGCACACAACCACATACAGTCCCAAAGTAGTGAAGTTATTTCCAAAAAGTAGCGTAGCACCAACAATAAAATCATGGATCGTTAACCTGCATCACATCACATGCGACAGACACACTGGCTTCAAGCAGTCAAAACAAACGGGTACTCTGCTGTGGAGGAATCTAGCGTTGATAAGCTGATCATTCACCGTCCCAAGGCGCTTCACTGGTCAGCTGCTTGTAGGTTAGACCCAGTCAGGTAAAACAGTGGCCCTGTATTTTTCTCCACATCTTCTGGTCACATTGTTCATCTTTCTGGAATAATTACAGACTATTTGGAGTTGTGATGGGTACAAAGCTAATCTAGAGGTACCTAAGATTAAACATTAAATGGCTGGAAATGAGCAGCCATGGGCTCTTTAATGACACAACTTAACATGCTGTATGCTGGCATGGCCAAATGAGCACAAATTCTATATCAGCATCAGTGAATTTGTGATCAGCCTCGTGGCCTGTTGAAGAAAGCCTTGAACAGACATTCATCCGAATTACTTTGACATGGCTTCACCTAGCTGTACCCCCTCAGCCTAGCTTTGCCTTTGTGAAATGCATTAAGCCAGGATGCGCTTAGTAGACTAGGTTAAGCCTCGCTTTGTAATGTTATGTTGGATCTCTTAATTCTACTTTTGTGCAGTGCAATCCAGATCATGTATTTCACATGGTGGACATATTGTTTTTGCATGGATAATGAACACTTTTATAATTTAATCACTGCATAAAAGGCTACATGAATATTTGTGTAACCCACAGAGTAAATGATCCTGTAGATACATGCATGAAATAAGAGCCAAAACTATGATGAGTGCAGAGTAAAATGAAAGATGACTCATTTAATTAGTGTATCTACATTTTGTCCACCTCTTCACAGACCGCTCTTATCTCTCCTTGGACTGGGAACCAGAGATCAAGAAGAAGTATTTTGACGAGACTGTTGTTGAGGTAGGATGCAGTGATAAAGCACATTGGACAGCTGAAATGAAAATGCTGCAGTTGTGTTCTGCTACACTGATTTGAATAAAATCAAATTTAAAAATAGTTATAAATAATCAGTGTGTATGTATACAGTCACCACTTTATTAGGTACACCTGTACAATTGTGTAGCAGTGAATTCGCTGTTACACTTCCACCTTAACATTTGTGTGTATGAAGCTCAAAATATTTATCATAAATGTATAAATTCAATTATTTGTTATTGAGGTCTTAGTTAAAGGTGGTGTTGTACTGGACTACATTACATTTAGAGATGGGTTTGTATTTTTGTCCTACTCAGCTACATACATGAGAGGGTTAGTGTGTATGCATACGCACACACACTAGGGTTGTCCCAAAATGGCAGTTTTTGGGCTCCAGATATTCGGTGGTAATAATCTGCCATGTGGTATTGATGGTTGGTGGTGCTGCAGCTTAAAGTACCTCTTTACCCAACTGGCAGCACTTTGGGTTAAAAAGCAAAACAAAAGGCTAATGAAAATTATTAATTTTTAATGTAACAGATGACAGATCCTCATAACTATTTGTGTGTACGCGCAATATGCTACATTTCCATCAGTGTTGTGAGATCGACTGATAGTTTTAGCTGTGAGGACTTCTCTCTCTGTTGGAGTTGTTGGAACTACAGAGAACCACTCACTTCACTCTAATTAATCAGTGGTGTTACAGAGTGATGCCTCTTTACCTCATAAATAGTCTTTGGCTGACAGCTGACAGCATGTTGTCTGTTTGTCCACCGGCTGCAGAGGTCACAAACCTGACAACAGCTACTTTCATTTTGTCGTGTCATCAATTTGGTTTAGTTCGCAACTGGTATGATCCTGCTGGTTGTCATTTTAACCAGAAACGGCAACAACCAGTAGAAGCTGCTACTGGAATGATTTGGAGCTATCAACAAATAAAATTGTAGGTGTCACTGGCACTGCTGTGCAACGGGGAGTATTCAGCTACTTTTAAAAAGTGCAGTCAATTTGCAATTAATCACAAGTAATCGCTAATTAATCACATTTTTTAAATCTGTTCTAAACTGTGGCAAAAGGTAATTGTGTGTTACTTAAATACTGTACTTAGATACAATTTGAACTTGAGTATTTTCATTTGTGTTAATACTTTGACTTCACTGCATTTTAGAGGTAAATATTGTACTTTTTTTTAATAACTTTAGTTACAGTGGTGGCTCTTGGAGGCAGTTCATACAATACGTGCAGTCTTTGGATGCAATGAGAATTTCAAGCAGACCCTCGTTCTCTACAATGTTAATCAGCCTGCAAGCTGTAGCCGCCCATTTAGCTATCGCTGTTGAAAGTTTTTTGCTTATAGAGTTGTCCAGGTGTCTCTGTTACCAACTAACCAGCATAGTCTGCCTTTGGTGAGGGAGAGGAGGGCTCTGCATCAGTTGTGTGCTTGGTTAGTAAGTGGTATTTGAGACTCAACGTACTCCAGTGGTAACTCAGTTCACATCAACAGCAAATGCACATAACTTGGGTCTTGTCAAGAGAACCCTCTGGCAGGGCTTTAAAGCCGAACTTGCAATTCAAAAGACCCTTTATCTGTTTCTGCTCAAGGAGGTTTGTTTCTGCTCGCCATCCACAATGTTACTGCTGCATCGCTTCCTGATTTCCCAAGCCACTGGGTGGACAGAGAGTCATAAACAGAATGTGCATGTGTTATCGCAAGTCAAAAAAAAATTGTGGCGTTAAAAGGAATTTGCATTAACTTGTTATCGTGTCAACTTTGACAGTTGAACTTAAGGAAATGCATCTTAATGACTCTTAAAATAAGGTGTTTTCTGTTTATGTTTTTAGCTTTGGACAGGGACATGCATTAAACTGTGTCCAGTGAGACACAGTAGTGATGTGAAAAGTGTTTTCTAACAGCTCTGTGTGCTTGTGTCTGTGACTGAGAGCAGGATTTTGACAAGCACGAGAGTATGGACTACAAGCCTCAGAAGAAGGCCTTCTTCAAGCTGAGGGACTGCATCGAGCTGTTTACCACAAAGGAAAAACTAGGTGCAGAGGACCCGTGGTGAGAAATACTCGCTGCATAGATGAAACAAATGGCAAGTAGTGCTACTACATGCATGGCTACTTGCTAACAGGAACTCGGGTGTCCGATCTCACAGGTACTGTCCAAACTGTAAGCAGCATCAACAGGCCACTAAGAAGCTAGACTTGTGGTCTCTGCCGCCGGTACTGGTGGTCCACCTTAAACGCTTCTCTTACAGCCGCTACATGAGAGATAAACTGGACTCCCTTGTTGATTTCCCACTGAGGTATGCTCACACACTTTGAGGAAAAAGCAATTTATCACTGAAGCATAACACACTACATTTTCAGCAGTGTCTGTTTCTGTTTTCCTATACAGGCCGTACATCTGCAAACAGCACAGTATATTTAAAGTACATGCATATACACACATATTCTTGTGCACCTAAGCATTTGATTATTAACACGTAAAGATACTTATTTCAGTGAAATAAGCTTGAGTTTACAGTTGCACAGTATCTACATTGTTCAGTAATGTGACAAGAGCTGGGTATAGCTGGGCATTCCTATAATTAAGTGCCATGTTTTGTACTTGATGCAAAGTATTTTAAATGTGTGAATTGTGATGCAGGTAACCGTGACTGGATACCATTGGCAGTTATTGTCCTATTTACAAAAATGACTTTTGTTATTGCCAAAATTACATGAGTAATTAAACATTAGCATTTGCATAATGAATTCTCTACAGTGCTGTATGAAAGCAGCACATTTCATTTTATGTTCCTTTGGATGCCAAAAAACGCTTTCAATTGCAGTCTATACTAAAAAAAATGCACGTCATGCACCCATGGCACATGACAGATTGTTTTTTTTCCTTTAGAGATCTGGACATGTCTGAATTTCTGATCAACCCCAACGCTGGACCCTGTCGCTATGACCTCATTGCTGTGTCTAACCACTATGGCGGGATGGGTGGAGGCCACTGTAAGACCCACACACATATCGCAGAACCATTTCTTCCACAGTTGATAACTGGTTTCTTGTTCACATTTTAACAGATGAATTACTTTTGTTTTTATCGTTTGTCAGTAGTCTTGTATAAGTTTGGCAACTAAAGAGCAGCAAGTGTTAATATCATGGTCACCTTCCCTCTTTTTATAGCTGTGTCTCTGCATTATCAGTATACATGCCGCTCAGATACCTTATCTAGCACATGTCTGGAAAGTAGCAATGGCTACAGGCTAACGAGCTTGATGTTTGCTGTGTGTAGTTGACTCGGTTTGTGTTGAGTTTACATTGCCATCCTGTTAAAAATATAGCCACCCTTGTGGTTATGTTACTGGACAGTGTTTTGAATATGCTTTTCATTTGTGTGTGATGTGTAGACCTACCCCTGAGTCTCCATACACAGCTTTAATCTAGTTGGGTTTCTATGGTCGGATTTAAAAGCTTTTAAAACATGTCCCTGAATGGAGTTTTAAAATTTAAATTGTGGATGTTATGAGTATGTGAAATGACTTTATAACACAACAAGAAGTACATTAAGGATAGAAAAGTTCACCTATAAAGAGGAACACCTGTATAATATTACAGTGATGTATTTAATTTTGTACAATGTTGTGTTTTAATCCCCTCCCACTTAGATACAGCTTATGCTAAGAACAAAGATGATGGAAAGTGGTACAACTTTGATGACAGCAGCGTGTCTCCTGCCAGTGAAGATCAAATAGTGGTGAGTGTCATCATTTGCAAAAGCCAGTCAACAGTCCTATTGTACATTTATCGCAGGCAGATGTGTTGGACAAATTCATCAAAGTAATGCACTTCTAACCTTGTGACTAACTGAGATTAATGATGACATTGCCAAACAATGTGATTTCTTTAACTGTGCTGTTAATCCCAAAAAGCACCAATGAGGTACTGAGCGCTGGGTTTCCTGAAGTTGTGGGTATTCGAGTTGTTTTTGGCGGCCTGTTTTAATTTTAGTTTTAGTCTAGTCTTTGTGTGAAGCTGTCATTTTAGTTTTTATTAGTTTTAGTCAATTCATACTCTTTTTAGTCTAGTCTAGGTTTAGTTGATGAAATCTGATGACATTTAGTCTAGTTTTAGTCAATGAAAATTGTATTTTAGTCTCTCGTTAGTAATGCAGTTCTATTTATCCTAGTCAATATAGTATAATGTAATTAAAGTTTTTCCAAATGTCGTTTCTTCTTTTTCTCCCAATGACGAACCCCGGCTGGCCGCCCATCGGTCCCTTTCTCTGTGTCAGACTTAACTTTGTTTGTTGTCGTCTTCTAAATAATGCCGCGAGTGGGGCTTAAGGAAGTGACGTCACCTGCGTCTGCGCAGTGCGGCTTGATGCAGCCCCTGAAGTGAGACACAGGAAACAGATACTGCAAAATATTAATAATAATAATAATAACGCGACTAAACGAGACGAAATAACATTTCATTTCGTTTTGGTCAACGAAAATGAAGAGACATTTTGGCATAGTTTTTATTTTGTGAACCACATTTAGTCTCGTTTTTTTCGTCAACAATATTGCATTACACATTTAGTTATAGTCGTCGTCACACGACCAGTATTTTCGTTGTCTCTCCTCGTTTTTGTCACGCAATAAAGGTTCGTTGACGATGATATTTAGTCATAATTTTCATTGATGAAAGCAACTATAGTGGGTATTTCATTGCTGCTGCTGGTCTTGGACAGTTCTTGATCTACCGTAATTGGCACATACTGTATAAACAACTCAGTGGCTCAGACAAGGTCAGTGATTGAAGGCACAGATCCCACTCAAAGAATGCGATGGCACATTAAGATGAGCAGAGCCCACAGAACCCCTCAGACATTACAGTGGTTTAGAAGTTTGTTTGCTGTGCAACTATAAAGAACTGACTGTCTTTCCCACAGGCTACTAATGTCTCTCCACTGCTGTGCCCACACATATTAATATTTCAAAATGTAAGCTTTTGGGGGAAAAGTATTCATAGTACGTGCTTCACAGGTAACCTGCAACCATTTCTTACTTCCATTAATGAACTAATTGGAAGAATATTTCAGTATTTTATTCCTGTTGGACAAATATTACTTTTAATCTAGGGGGTATTGCTAAAGATTCCACTAGTGATACAACTCATTAGTAATCTTGTCTGGTTCAGTATCGGCCTCATATTTTTGGTACTTGGACTGTTTGTCAGCATAATTCCTGCTTGGCACTAGCTTTGACTCAAAAAGTTAGATGGTTCTACTAATGTTTCTTCTCACTGAGCATGTAATCGCAGAGGAATAAGATTTGCTAGGCTATGGATACAATGAAAAAATATAGATTATCACCAGACTTTTTCTGGATCGATAGATTATTTGTCTAACCAGTTAGAATCTAGGAGGCGTTTCTGGGTTTGTCTGAGAGAAAAATGTCTACAGAGTCCTCGGGACAGGCTATAATTAATGCACTATGCAGCATCCTGTTCTTGTAAGACTCGTTTTTCAAAAGGTTACAAAACGGCATGCTCATGTTATTAAAAGTTGGCAAGTTAAAACTCTGAGTAATTGTATTTGTGTCTTTCAGTCTAAAGCCGGCTACGTGCTGTTCTACCAGCGCCAGGACACAACAAAAGGCACTGGCTATTTTGCGAGGAGGCAAATTGTGCTGTAACCACAACAACAAAACACTGATCAACAACTTTACAGGTTTTCCACAGGAAATCTGTCAGTGAATAAGTGAAATGAGGCCATGGAAAAACACATGGAAATTTAAAATGTTTTGAAGGTTTTAAGACTCAGCATCAGCGTGTGAAGACTAGAGACTGTTAATGGAGGAGGAGGAAGAAGAAGAAGAAGAAGAGGAGGAGGATGAGGAGGAGGAGGAGGATGGAGAAGAGGAGAAGAACAATGGCGATGAGAGACAGGAGAGAAGGAGCACCTCCTCCACTCAGGCTGCCTTGTCAGCTGCCAGCGCAGCCACTCAGAGCGATGAGGAGGACCTGAATGAGAACTGGCGCAGGAAGAATGATAACGAGCAGGAAGTCGAAGAGGAGGAAGAACTGGCACCCAATCAAGACGTCACCATGAAAACCAACTGAGCCAAATGATGACACAGATAATTGGAGAGAGAGACTGGGATCTTTCCATCCAAAGCCATATGGACACACAGCATGTCAACGGGCGCCACCAGGCCCACCCAGTGACTGGAACTCGGCTGTCCAGAGGCGGCGCCACTGAGGGGATGACAGCTATTAGGCCAGGGAGCTGCCACAGTACGCAACTTGAAAAAAATCAGGGCCCTCCTCTGTGGTTGGATCACTGTGTGTGTGTGCATGTGGGTCTCTGTGAGAGTATGTCGCCTCATCCTCTTGTTTAGGATCTGCTCACTGAGTTTGAGGTTCACATTACATCAGTGTAGCTTTCCGAATCTCCCTTGGCCTTTTGTGTTTTTGTTTTTTGTTTTTTTATATATGTATTTTTTTGAGAGCAATGCATTGTTGGCATATAATTTTAGTATTATGTAGATTTTTATAAATATTTAAAACACTGAATTATATTTGGTTTTCATGATGCGCTGACACATTTTGAACTTGCACAATCATCAACCATCCACCCTTTTTTTCCATATTTTTGCCAGACGTACAGCAATTGTTAAACAATGATCTCTCAGAGGATTTTCTCACTTAAAAAAGCTTAAGAAGCTGCCATTCATTAAATAATTAGTCAGTGGTGGGACACATCTACCATCTGGAGCGATCAGACAGCCAAGCCACCCTAGCTCTGTGCTGCTGCTGTGATCTAACATTTTAGACAGATTATTAGTGTACTGCATTGGCCTTTTAAGGTCCTGCTTTTGCCGTCTCTTTCTGGTGTCCTCTGTTGATAAGTTATATTTGTTAAAACCTAAAATAAAGCAGGATAGAGATGTTATCCAGCTTACTGAAGAATAACCAAATGTATTCTATTTGTGCATATTTTAGCACCAAAAATCAATCAGGAGAAGCTGATTCAGAAATTCCTAGTGTTAAAAACCAGAAGCACTCTGTCTTAATGAGCTCAAAATAGTGTGCGGGGATTCCAAGTTAGTTGGCAGACACGATTCTCTTCAGCCGTCCCGCTTCAGTTCTGCTGTGTAAGTGGTGTTTTAAGCTTTACCATGGTTCCGCACTGTCTTCGTCATTTTGGAGGTGCTGTGAGATTAGGACTGTCAGTGATTTCACTGACATCAGATGCATCGTCTTGTGTTTGGATGTTTGGATCACCTTTGCCTTAACCTTTTAATCTCTGACCAGTCACCTTTTTTTTCTTTGCACATCCCTATGATATTGTCTTTCTTGCATGGCCCCTTCCATATATACCATCACACTAGTGCAAATGTCCATGTGATTAGTTTCTTATCTCACAGCCATATCATTTCATTACTGTTTATTTGTTTTTACCCACACGAGGGCCAGAATGTATGCTGAATGGAATGAACGCTGACCAGATGTATGTGGTTAATATGTTTAGATTTTTTTTTTTTTAGGGCCAGAGTTGTTTTTATCATGTTTGTTTTTTTTTTTAATGGCTCCCTTTCTGGATTTGGTTTACGCTGATAGTAATGAGTTCTTCGCTTCATTGATATTAGCTATGTGAATTCATGAGTACTGCTGAATACATCCCTTTCTGTGGGGGGGTGGGGGGTGGGGGTAGAAAGGTGGTTAGTTGGGAGGGAAGCAAACTGTGGGGTGAGGCTGCCTAAAAGGCCTTTCAGCTTTTGGGATCATGATACAAAATATTTTGTTGCAGGAGATTCCTCTGTCGACGTAATTCACAGTAAAACTGTTCTCCATGGTGGAGTGTTAAGTTTTCTTTTTCTACCTGTTATTTCCAGTGTAAACGGCATTAGCATACCTGTTGTTGCCTCAGAATATTAGACGTGTACCATGCCTTTATGAGCATCTCTATGCTTTGACTTCAGTGGACTTCATCACCTCAGCAGCGCCTTGCTTTTTGGGCGACTCATCCCATTTTGACTAAGTGAGATGTGATTGCCACTATAGGCTTATACAGTACTGTACATAAGAGTTCACTCTGTGAGTGCACATTTGATAAAGTTTATTTATTTATATGTAAGCATTTAATAAACAGACTATATTTAAAACCTTGGCAAGACCTCAGATGTCGGGGGAAACGTGGCTCGAGTCCACACATACACACTAGTTTGCAAAGTCTTGCCTGTGCTCTTGTCAGGGAGGGAATATTTTTAAGAAAGGATGGTTCTGCTGTTTTGGGGCTGTTTTTTGTAAAAAAGAATCCAGACATCCTTGCATGATGACATAAGGGTTTCCAGGTTTGACTGCACTTGAGTTCACTTGGGTTTACATTTGAAATGTGCATGTGTATTTATACACAGTCTTCAATAAAGTTGTGTAAAGCGTCCTGTGTGTGCTGCCCTGGTTTTCCCACTCTTTCAGCTGTGTGGTGTGTGTGTGTGTGTGTGTGTTTCATTTTCTCTCTAGTCATTGCTACGTACCTTCCATAAATAACCAGAAGTACACTTGTTAGTGCTTTCTTTAATTACAGATAGAAATAAAGCCGCTTCCAGTGGTAGAAAGTAATTGCGTATTTACTCAAGTACTGTACTTAAGTACAATTTTGAGGTTTATGTATTTGAGTATTTTCATTGTGTGCTACTTCATACTTTGACTTCACTATCTTTTAGAGGCAAATATTGTACTTTTTACTCCACTACATTTATTTTATAAACTTTAATTACTACTTACTTTTTCCACACCTACATGACATGAGGCATTTACGAGGAGAACGGGGCAAAGAAAATCGCCTTTCACTCCGGTGTGGCTTTGTACACGTTAAACTTGAGCAGATGATTTGCTAGATTCTCCTGACGCAGAGAGAGAAACGGACAGTAAATGATAAAACAGACTTGAAAGGTGACAAAATCTCGATAATATGGAATTAAATGTTACTGTGACTTTAATCTCCCATTGTTCCAAATGCAAAAATGCTTCAATAAAATGTTTTAATATACATTTTTATATGTAGATTTAATTATGTATTAGAACAAGGTAATGTACATCATGTGGTGTTTTTGAGGTGAAATTGTACATGCGTAATTGAATGTTTTGAAATGTGAAAATTTTTGTGTACCTACAAATAAGAAATTGTTCTCTCATTATTATTCATATTATGCAGACAAAATTTTAGGATTTTATCAAGGAACTACACCAATCAGCCACAACATTATGACCACTGGCAGGTGAAGTGAATAACACAGACTGTCTGTTACAGTGGTACCTGTCAGTGTGTGGGGTATATTAGGCAGCAAGTGAACGCTCAGTCCTCAAAGTTGATGTGATGGAAGCAGGAAAATGGACAAATGTAAGGATCTGAGTGACTTTGACAAGGTTCAACCTGTGATGGTGAGATGACTGAGTCAGAGCATCCCCCACACTGCAGGTCTTGGTGGGTGTTCTTGGTCTGTAGTGGTCAGTACCTACCAACAGTGTCTAAGGAAGGACAAATGGTGAACTGGAGACAGGGTCATGGATGTCCATGGCTCACTGATGATGAGGTTGCCCTACTGTAGATTAAACCTTTAACAAGGGAGTGCGCACAAGGGATTTGTCACAGGGTATAATTATTCCTGCTTCTTTAAGAGATTCAAACACTGGAGTGATGCCATCAATAGCTTCTTTTTTCAGAAAATATAACTGTTTACATGGCCTGTAATCAGATTTGGGAGTAACTACAACCAGTTCACAATCTTTGGTGAGGCCAATATCATCAATGTGTGTAGCCCACAGTGTCTTGGGGACTTCCTGCAAGACTAGGATGGCTGCAGCCTGTGAGTCAGATAAAAAGTGCTGAGCTCGCATTGTATTTTCAGCCAACTGAACGGATCTTATGGAATGCATGACTAAAGAGAAGCTTATTTTAAAACACTGCAGTGTAAAAGAAAACAAAACCGATATATCTTGAGTTATCTGCCAATCATTTTTGTGCATGCATCTTTTCACAAAGGGGCCCATATCTTTCCATTCATCATTATTACCCTCGGCCAAAGAAATGTGTGGTACGGCCCTGTCAATGTCATACAGCTCTAACTGTGAAGCTGTGAGACTGCCAGTGAGAAAGTAGAGGTAATCACTCCAGTACATAGCAGATGTGCACAGTTTTTAATTTTGAACTCTAAGCCATGTCTGTTCATAGTGCTTGTCATGATGAATGTGAGAAGTGCAATGCAAATCTCCAGGTTGCATAAAATCAGTGTGTTCATCCACAACCAGTTGTTTATCCTCAGCAACAAGTGAGGAAGTCAGTGGACCATTTAGCAATTTCCACTCATAAGCATACAGTAACTCACAAGGGCTATTTAGCACAAATGAGTGTGTGTATGAGTCACTGTCTTGGTGGACAGTAATACCATCAGAGGTTGAACAAAGTGAGATTCCAAGTTTACACATAAGATCTCTGCCTAAGAGACTGACAGGACAATATGAAGAGAACAGAAAACAATGTTTGAATGACCTTCCCTCAGGGAGGGGGCACGAGAGAGGAGCTGTTGTATGTTCTTTGATAGTTTTCCCTGAAGCTCCCACAGAGTACACAAAATTACCAGATATTTCTGGAGAGCATGTAAACTGAGAGGTTTTAATAAGGGAGGGAGTAGCTCCTGAATCAACAAGGAATGTAACTGGCTGTCCCTGAATAAGGAGTGTGAACTGAGGAAATTGTTTATATGCTTCAGATTCATATTTGACATATGTACCCTGAGGCTCAAATTTGCTCTCTAATACCTTAATGTTGTGTTGTATAAGCAAGTGCAGGTTAGTATCAGCAAGCTGGTCTTCATTGTGGTGTGCAGTGTGTGTGTTTTCACTCATCTGTAGCTGCTGTGTCTCATCTGTAGGTGCAGTGGCGGTCTCATCCGCTGTCCCTCCTCCCCCTTCGCCGCCACCAACCTAGCTTCAGTCAGATGTTGTTGGGCACTGGTGACCATTCTCCAAACCACGTCCCCTTCTCTGGAAGTCTCTCGTGTTGTTCCTGGACGGCTTGGTACATGGTCATGGCTGTGAAGTGTAGCTCCTTTTTGGCCTTATCTTCTTAGGCCCGTTTCTTCTGCTGCAGCTGATCTTGGGCATGACTGGCATGACGTCGTAGTTCACTCAGACGAGCATCTGTGTAGCCGACACAGGATGTCTTAGCTGCTGCTGCAATGTCAGGTCTCCGTCCCTTCAGGAAGCAGTATGTGTTTCCCACACACCAGGAGCATTGCCCAAATCAGCTGGTTGTTCCAGGCCACTATGAATGTTAAACAGCTCTGTAAGGCAGTGTAAATACTCCTCTGTCGATTCTCCCTCCTGTTGTCTGCAAGATGTGATTTTACTCATGTCCACTTTAGTGGGAAACCGGTCACAAAACACAACTCCCAAGGCTGTAATTGCATCTCTGTATGGGGCATTATCAACGTGATTCCATTCAGTGTTGCAGACATGCAGGTAATTTGATGGAAAACGACGAGTCACCTGCTGGAGATAGACAGGTTTCATTTTTGTTGCAAAGAGGCATTTCAGTTCTGTCAAATATGCCACCTTAGTGCGAGAGGTTAAGCTTTATTCCTATGTCCAGGGGTTACCATATCGTGGCCTTCATAGACCACCTAGAGTCTTGACATTTCAAATTCAATTTCAGCTCATGGCTATGTGTTGTAGAAATTCTTCTCTCATGTTTGAAAATTGCTAAGTCTCAGAAGAACTTTTAAAAAAGAAACACATTGTGATGAACCATCCCTATTTAATTACATGCCAACATGAAGAAGACAGTGTTTGTCCATGTGTTCTGACCAGTTTCTCTCAAAATCCTTGCTTTTATACGGAAATAGAACAAAGAATCCAAACTCAGAAAGACATGAAAGAGAAGACACATACATAGATGTCATTCAATTATGCATACATGTGACAGTTACAGCTCTTTGTCAGCAATAAAATTCAGGATTGGCAACCCCTAGCCATAAAGACCAGACCCTCAAAGCAAAGCAGACCTTTCATGTGAGTATCAGATACATTAAGTCTTACTTATTTGAATACAGTAATCTTGAAACAAGCATTGATTCAGTGATATCTAACCCAATATGCTTCAATTCTCCCATTTAAAAAATTGAAGATAATTGCAAATAATATGAAATATGTTGTTCTGGACATAAATTTTGATTTGATTTGATTTGATTTGATTTATTCTTTCAAGCATGTAAAGACAGTTGATATGTCAACACACATAATTTTACACATATCCAACAAATGCTAATCCAATATCAATGTGCTTATACCTAGTACATGCTTGAATGGAGTAGGAAGAAGTCAGACTTATCCAGTCCTACCCCATGACATCATCTTACATCATTGGTTTGCAAGCAGTATCTCTACATAGATACATAAGTTAAACCTTTATTACCTGCTAGTAATTCATATTCCTATTTAAGTAACTCGCACACTTGATTTTCTTGTTTTTGATTGATGATGCATTCAAATTGGAATCGATAATTTACGATTACTTTGCTCATGAATGTGATAATGTTCACAAGAGATCAGCCAAGGAATGAAATAGTACGTAATAAATGTTTACAGTATAATGTAGTCTTCTACCTTTCTATTAACTTGCATAGTCTCAGAATCCTCTGAGCTCTAGTCTTTTTAGTGTGACACCACAAGATGTTCACTGCATAACATAACATTTTAATGGGCGGATAAGTTAAACACAGGCTACAAAAGAGAGCTATACGATTTTTAGTCGCAATTTGTAATAAGTAGTTTGTCCTTAACTTGTCGCTGTAGCTTTAAAATCCCGCACTGCCGTCTGGGTAATATTTATGTGTTTTGGGTAAGGAATACACTAATGGTCGCGTTTCCTGTGGACCTCTAAGCTTCAAAATACTGTGATTGTAGCATAGTTTTCATTAATGCGTGACTGTGCGGTGTTATGTTTTGCATGTTTTAATGAGAAGCCCCACGAACTGGGGAATTTATTATTTATTGTCTTTAGCATGTGTGCAATTAAAATCGGCTACGTTGCTAATTTAGCTTCCAAAACGGAATAATGAGCTAATGTTACTCTTCTAATACAGCTGTTATCGTGCAGTGCAATAAGCTCTCTCGTTGGATGACACTGCAATTTCTTTAATGTTGTAATGCATGTTATTAGTATTTATATTCATTATCTGGCTTGTACGTCAGGAAATGTTTAGGTTGTCCTTTGTTTCCAATCGCAACGCTATATTGATCGGTTGGCTGTAAAAAGAAGGGGAATCGGGAAAAATGGATGAAAATGCCGAAAATGTGGAAAACGACGACATTGTCATTATTGTGGAGAACGAGGCGGAAAGTTTGCCAGCAGAGGAGGAGCGGCTGAAACAAGGCACTTTCGGGCTCATGGACACATGTCCCATCTGCAAGTTGAGTTTCCACAACAGAGAGCCCAAACTCTTGCCTTGTCTCCACTCTCTCTGCAAGAGGTGTCTGCCTGCCCCGTACAGGAGTGCCGAGCCCAGGGGTGACCCGCAAAGTCGGGTGGACAACAGTAAACCATGTGAGAACACTGATTTCATGTATGATGTGACTGACACACAGTGTGATAACAGAGTACGTTATACCATCTGCTAGAACTGAAGTGGCTTTTATCTGTCTTGTTGGACCCCTGAGTGATGTGGACAACATAAAATAGACTTCTTCATAAAATATGTTTATATTGACATAATGTAAGAATAGCTTGGTGATGCCTTTTGTTTCTGTCAGACTATATTCACACAAGAAAATATTGTAATGTTAATGAAATATCCAGATAGGAAACCAGACTTTCACAAAACAATATTGAACTGTAATGCAACCTTTAACATCAGCTAAAAAAGAAATGAAAAGCTAATGTGAACATTTTAGTGGCACCACTAAGTCAGTACTAAAGCTGCATATTGTCAATCTCTGTGTATTTATTAGTTGACTCTTAAGTAGTGGATGTGGTCTTTTGCCCCAGTGGGTGCAATTCGATGTCCAGTATGCAGACAGGAATGCTGGGAGCTGGATGTACTGGATAACTTCTTTGTCAAGGAGTCTGCTGAGGTGCCAAGCAGCACTGTGGAAAAAACCAGCCAGGTTGGTCATCACTTGCATCACCGTTTTCCCAAGACTACAGTGATGATTTTTCTTTTACTCAGTCTTCTTTAATTTAGTTCTTTATGCTCCTCTTTAATAGGTGTGCATGAGCTGTGATGACAACACAGAAGCAACAGGTTACTGCGTAGAGTGTGTGGAGTTTCTGTGTGTGACGTGTATTGAAGCGCACCAAAGGGTCAAGTTCACCAGGGATCACACCATACGCCAGAAGGAGGAGATGTCTCCAGGTAGTTCAAAGACTGCAGAAATATTTATTTCAATATTTAACAAACAGTCCTAAGGAGACATATGCTGACTTTGCATTTCTCTCTCTGCTCCTTGTCTGTATCTCAGAAGCAGTAGTTATTTCCACCCAGAGGCCTGTGTTTTGTAACATCCATAAACAGGAGCCACTGAAGCTGTTTTGTGAGACGTGTGATCGACTCACCTGTCGAGACTGTCAGCTGCTTAAACACAAGGATCACAAGTATGCAGGATTACCAGTCCTTTACAACTGGCAATTGTGATGCAGCTTGTTACTGATTTGAGGCAAATTATTTTTGTGATGTTTGATGAGAAGAGCTGTAATGTTTTATGAGTTCTTGTGTATTAACATCAGTTTTATTCTAGTACCAGAAATGCATAAAAGTATTTGTCATTTTTTAAAAGCACCATTTACAAAGAGTAGCCAATAATTAATTCAGATAGTCGACTAAAGTGACGTGACAGAACATATCCATTTGTTGTGATAAGCTTTTGGATGTTTTCTGTGTAGCTACCAATTTTTGGAGGATGCGTACAGGAACCATAGGCAGTATCTGGAGAACATGACGCAGCAGTTGCAAGAGAAAAGAAAGGCCATCGAGGAGGTATCCAGCTGTATCAACACTGGGTAAAGTCATCCTCCACTGCTGGAAGCTGATCAGAGTTTCTCTGTTATTTGCATTTCAGATATAATTGTATCTGTTTGCAATGTAATATGGACAGTTACTGTACAGATTTTCTGGACTTTGTTTACCAACGTATTGTTAAATTCAGAATCATCTGCATATTGAAAGTGATTAATGAGAGTCATCATGTAAAATTCATTTTAGTTTTTTGACATTGATTCTCACAGACTCCAGCAAGTTGAAGAGAACAGGAAGGCTGTAACTAATGAAATAAAGAAGTCCATCTGTAACTTGATTATGGAGATCAACAGGAAAGGAAAGATTCTGGTTAACCATCTTGAGGTACAATATGTTAAATTTGCTGCACACAGATTTGAATGGCATTTCCAAAGCAGTAAGTGACATTTAGAAATTTGCTTTCTGACATTTCATTAACATATTTACTTTCAGGCTCTGACTAAGGACCATGAATTGAATTTGAAAAAGCAGCAGGAGGACATCAGCTCTCTGAGCAGGCACCTAGACCATGTTATCAGCTTTACCAAATGGGCCACAGCCAGCCATAGTGGAACAGCTCTCCTATACTGCAAGAGACTGGTGAGTGACGAGCAATTGTTTGTTGCTATAGGAAACTCTTTTCTATAATACATATTTGAAAGAATTCTATAATACCTTTATAACTTCAGTGATATTCTGTACTTTCTCTGTCTTGTTGTCTGTCAGATCCTTTTTCAGATCCATTACCTGATGAGAGCAAACTGTAATCCTTCCATTGTCCCTCAGAGTTCTGTTCGCTTCCAGAGTCGCTCTGGATTCTGGGCAACAAATGTAGAACTTGGTAAGTTTGGCATCACCTAAAACATAGACTGCGAGTCCAGCAGCAATAAATAACAAATGTTCCCTTCTCTAGGAGCTTAGTGTGTCCACATCACCTACAGGAATAACTGCAAACCAAATGTGTCATTCATTATATTTTGTGGGTTGTGAATGTATCATTGCGAGTGATGTTCACTGTGAATAGAACTTAGATGCAATGTCCGTTATGCTCTTCAGTGATAAAACAGCTACATCAGCAGCTGAAGTTCAAGAGAAGGGAACAATGAAATCCACATAGTTGTGTTGGCTAGCACTGGAATGTTTGGTGACATCATCCTATGACACTTTTCTTTATCTTTGTCAGTGCAACAGTCAGTTTTTGCATGTCTGTCGTCCAGTGTATTAATCTAATCTGTCCTAAACACTAACAGTTTGTCTTAATATTATGTTATCACCTAACATAGTCTTCTCCCCATTATCTTCTTTTACAGCATGTTTGTACTTTTTTCTTTGGTGGAGAATTTTTGTGGTGCTGTAGGAATTTTATAAGGGGCTGAAAACACCTCTGCATCCTTCCTGCCTCTGCTTTTTAAAGCATAATATCACTGAGGTTTTAAGTTGTGCTTGGCTTGCAAATCATTTCATTTAGCTTAGTTTCTCTCAAACTAATATGTAAAGCCTTTGAAACCATGGACAACAACACTTGTCTGTACATATACTTACTTTACCTGCTGTTGTTGGAGATGTTGCACACCCAAATCTCAGACAAAGCTGTCACCAGTTGAGTTGCACTGCGGTTAATGTCCTGTTTCTGCTGCATTGACTTTGATCCAGTTTTTAACTGCCCATCGTGACTCTGATGGTAATGCAGTGCTAAGTCAGAGGAGTACTCCTTTAAGCTGAGCTGGTGTGACGGCGGAAATCGGTAGTGACCCAAGTCCTCATTTATCAAACTGTGTATAGGATTCATACTAAAAGTTTACATATACACAAATCACAAGAATGGTGTACACAAAAAAGTAAAAAAACAAGTATAACACTGCACATGCACGTCCTACACTTTTTTTCCTTTATAAATCACAATCATCTTGAGAATGTGTACAGTTTGGTCAGCTACATATTCCGCCCAGAATACTCCCCCAGTTAACCATAATACAAAACATTCATGACTATTGAAGTACACAGCATTCCTTTGGAGACCAGAGGCAGCACTACAGACAAAACCGTTTGAGTGACTGTCACTGCAGAAGCTGTTAATACAACAAACAAGAAAATTCCTAAATTAAGCAAAGTGCTCAGACATGCAGGTGAATGTCTTAAACACTTTGCTGCAGAACAGAATATGGAGAGACAGGGACATGGAAGCTCTCCGCTTGGTATTTGTTAAGCGTGTATGACTATAGACAAGTACATAGTTATCACACTGTCAAGTTAAACCCAGCATTTAACTTAAAAAATTATACATTATTCTTATCTTCACAGCCGATGACGAGTGCATATAGGCTAGAGGTGTATGTGAGATGACCGCAAAAGAAAGAGTGCGTGCACCCCTGCAGTTTTCCTAGTGCGCTGTGGGTGGCTGACGGCACATGCATGTCTTCAATGAAGATATTTATACAAATCAAAAATATTTAAAAAATGAATTAAAATTGTATTTAGCAACAAATTCACAATAATCAAAGACCTTGTTATAAAACTGCCAGTGCTTTTCTTTTCTCCAGTTCTATAAAGAAATGTGAAGCAGTGTGATGATTATTTCATGGTTGAACCAATTGTGGCTGAGATGAAGAGAAATCAGGATATTCTGAGTTATTATCAGGGAAAGGTGAGCCAGACTTTCCCGAACCCACTACCTGACACATCTTGGCATTATCCTTGGCAAAGCTGTGCTGTGACATGCTCCAGCTCAAAATCGACCGGTAGCTTGAGTATGAGTGTCACATGGCCCAACCCTCTCTTGAGATTTTGATGGTTTAGAAAAGTTGTCAGTGCCACTTGATTAATTAATGATAGCTTAATAATGAATCACAGATGTAAATGGTTGAGATTTGGATCAGCCTATATCTTTTAAAACAGAGCTGCTTATAGAATAATTAGTCCTACAAACACAATATAACGCAGCTGCGTGGTTTATCACATTGATCACATTGTGTACATGTGATTATTGATTTAATATGAAGAGAAATGAAACCCTAAAAGGATCAGTATAAAATCTGGCTTCAGTTCACTGCATCACCATCTGTGTTGCCAATTTTCCTCACTTCCAAAATGGACATGCACATGGGTCAGAGTTTCAGTGGAGGACCACACATTTTCCTGTCAAGTTTGCTTGTATTGGGGTGTACGCCTTCTTTTGTGCATATGCAGCCTTTATAAATATGGCCCCTGGGTGAGCCACCGTCGTGTTTGCTTCTTTTGTCCAGGTTCTTTGGTAGTAGAAAGAGGCCCCTCACGGCCACCCATCCCCAACCCCAACCCCAATCCCAATGCAGCTTCCACTGGAGGTCTGCCAGTGTCAGCCCAGCAGGGACAGAGCACACTGGCTCAGCTGCAGATGCAGGTGGGATTTTCAACACAGTCGATAGTTTTGATACTCGACAAGTTCATTTATTTTGCATTAAAATTAGAAGTTGTTTTGGTTCGGTGTGTTCATGTGCCTTTTGCTTACTGCTCTAATACTATTAAACATTCTCAGTGCTGTATGTTGATCTTTATATTAATCGATAGATTTTACAATATGAAAATATCAACAAAGTAAGCCTCTTCTAGCACTGATTAAACTGTCCAACTACCCTCCTGTCCAAGGTTGACAAGCTTTTCCAACAGCCCCACAGACAGGCCCCTCCCTACCACTGTTCCTGGTACCAAAATGTTAAGCTCCCAGGACCCCCTGGCCCTCCACCTCCAACCAGGCCCATCCATGGAGGTTCCTCCCCTTCCCAGGGTCCCCCCAGTTTGTCACAGCCAGGCCGTAGGTATGGGAGCTCCCATCCAAACCCCAGAAGCCCCACATCATCCATGCTTCACAGCACAGGATTCCCAGCTACTCAGGTAAGTGATTACAGGGCGAGAGGTTAGACTGTGTGTGTGTGTGTGTGTGTGTGTGTGTGGACTGTATTGTATGTTTTGTATGCAGAACACAAGATGCTGGCCACATGGGACATTTTTGCAGGTGATGGTTGCACTAGTATTTTCAGCCTGCCTCATTTTTAATCACAAACTCACATTGACATTTAGTTTGAACAATTTTGATATACCTTTTTCTTTTCCTTATCTTTTGCCTCAAAGAGTGGGCTGAATCAGGTTGGTTTATTTGCTAGATTATACTATATCCTTTCAGCTTTTTGATAAAACTCTTGTACAAGTGCTTTCATCAAAAAAATGGTTAAATGCAGATGCATCATTGTTCCTGCTGCTTTTTCACTTTTTTAATAAACAGAACAATGGGAGAAATGTACTTGAAGTTGCTGCCTAACTTCCTTTTTTCAAACTTAAACTCTTCTTGCAACTTTTTCTAGTCCCTGAGAGATCTGATCCAAAGCTCCAGCTTCGTTCCTAAACCCATGGATGTGTTGCAGGGTACTTCCCGCTTCCCACAACCTCTGTCTGCTGGAGCAGCTGCACAGACATCACTACACCAGGTTGGTATGAGAGGAGAATTTAAGGAGCCAGTTCAGATTTTAATTTTTTTTTGCTGTCAGATCTGATCTGGCTAAAGATCTTTTCAGTTTGATATGACCAGAAGCTTCTTCATAAATGCCCAGTAAATTTGATACTTTCTTGTTTTTCCACTAACCCCATCACTGTTGTTGCTCTCCTCCATGCTTGCTTTTACTTGTCTGTGAGGGGCTGACACCGAATGATAACAGCTGATGTGTGCAGAAGTGTGAGACTTAAAACCAAATGAATTCCAATCTGAACCTTCCCTATGGTGGTCACGTAGTCAGAGATCGGAATCAGTTCTATTATCAGATATACAGGTGGTCCAGACCTGATTTGAAAACATTGATGTAAAGATCAGATCTGGGTTACTTGGAGGGGAAAACTGATTTGTGCTTCTTCAGAAGCTAATGTAAACCTAGCCTGAGAAACTTTGAACTGTCATAAGTGTGACTGCAGAGAGATAAAGTGCTATTTAGGCTTGTTTTGTGTGACTGTGATAATGTATTTATCGCAACCCATTTTGTTTTTGCTCTGCAGCGGGGTTTACAAGAGTCGTCCTTCTTGAAGAGGAGTGAAGCCTCTGGATCGGTCCCCGCTATTACCATCTCTGTCCCCAAACCCAGCTACCCTCCAGGTCTAGCCTCTGCAGCTGCAGACAAAACAAGCAGCCTCAGTCACCAAACAGGTCAGTATCCACACTCTGATTGAGCTGCATCCCTGAAGATCTGTGCTGAATATTGAAAATAAATCTTGAATTGAGCTTTCATCATGATTCTTCCTCGTTCTCTTTTCCCAAGTTCAAGGAAGGCGGAATTCTCCGATGACCAAACCATCTTCTTCAGACAGAAGCACAGGGTAAGAAAAGATCAATTCTTTCCTCTTTACAGTTTCCCCCCCCATGTTTATTTTAGATTTATTTATTTATTTTCGTTTTCGCCTTGTGTTCCCAGTAGCTGCCTGTTTCACTGCTCAGATCAAATTACAGATTGTTAGGAGTCGGTGTAATCTGAGACCAGATTTATAAACTGGGCTGTCAAAAGTTAAACTGCTGTGAAAATGTTACCTTATGTATAAATCTTTACAAGCTTACATTTTTTATTGTGATTTTTTTTTTCTCATTATGAAACAATTTTTCCAACTTGTGAAACCATTAACGGTTTTTAGGTAGAATTTTATTTTGTCGCCCTGTTGCCAGGGCTGATATTGCTTTGAGTCTGTTCTTGTTGATTAGATGGACTCAAGGAAAATGCTACTTGCTGATTCATACTTCTGGTTCACAATATTGAAATTGCTCTAAATCATGTCATGTTCTGGCAGCAGTTGTCTTCATCAGGCTATGTAGACTGACAGTGTAGCAATAAAACTGTTTGGAATCAGTTTTCGCTCTTGCATTCACTTGTGCTAGTTTACAATGCCATTGGTTGTAGTTAATAATCTAACAGACTATGACCTTGTGACACTTATTTCCTTGTTTCTACTAAGACGAGTTTTTCCTCACAAGTGACATTTAAGTGATCCAGCACACAAACACTCTTTGATCTTCAAAACCTTAAGTCAAACCAGTGAGTCTAGTCTTCCCTTCTCCTCTCTCTCTGGCAATGTGTACGTTGAAGGACAACTTCCTGGAAGCAGAGTTCTCAGCCGCCAGCTGCCTCCTCAGCCAAACGACGAAGAAGGTCCTCCCCAGGGCCCATTATCATCATCAAGGATGAACCAGAGGATGAGGATGATGTTCATTTTGTAAGAGAATTACTTGGGTTCCATAAATCCAGAATGTTGAAATGTATCTATGGCACAGTTATAGTTAGTAGTTACTAAATTATGTGACTGTTCTGTCTCCTGAATCACCAGTCATGTGTTTAGTGCCACTGTTCCATTGCTTGGGTTTTGCATTTGAGTCATTTTATCTGCCTGCGTATATCCTGCATTTTTTTTGCCAACAGGTGCAGTCAAGTGTCGGATCCAGCCTGCCAGACAGTAGCACTGGGACTCAGGCCAAGCCCCGACAGCAGCAGAAGGTGTCTGTCACAGTCACAGTCCCAGTCCCTGCATCAGAGTCCAAAGCTGGGAAAGAGCAGCGTCCTCAGCCTGCAGCACAACCGGAGTGTGAAACGAGGGCGGAGCCGGAGGAAGATCCTAATGAGGACTGGTGCGCGGTCTGTCAGAATGGAGGAGAGCTGCTCTGTTGCGACAAATGTCCCAAAGTTTTTCATCTGTCCTGCCACATCCCTACACTCAACGAGTCCCCTGGGTGAGAGACAGACAGTCTCTTAGTGACACAGGGGATCTGCAGTGTTTACAGCAATGCCTGTACAGTTGTGCGATTACAAAATTATGTTGGTACCACCCATGAATAAATGGGAAGAAATGAATAAATAACTGCTCCCAAAGGAGGGTGTGTCAGTCCTAAGTGCAGCATGTCTGACTTATAGTCATGTTTGCTGCACATTTTATATTTGTATAAAATCTTAAACTGTATTGTCATAATTATCACGATTTTTACCATATTAACAGACTTTATATTTTCTGTAATGTGGAGACTAAATCATATCAAATGTTTTTGTATTGTTAATAATTGTAGAGGTTATTGTGGTTCTAGCAAGTTGACAACACACTTTTAAATGTGCCATCGAATGGGAGAGCATTCATATGGAAGCTCAATCGATGTACAAGTTAAATGATGCTTAACCATTATTTGGCCCCAAAGAGGTTGCCAGGCTTCGTAGCCTACATCCCTGAATCCTATCCTCACCTAAGCACAGAGCAGATATGTGGCGTGAAACAGTATCTGCATAGTAATTGATCAGGTGGAACAGTGGCTGGCCCAACTGGCTTGGTAGGCAGTCCCACCTGAGAGCCAGGCCTGCTCAGCTGTCCACCACTGATGCAGTTCTACCAAGAATATCAATCAGAAATAAAATACACCACTAACAGCCCCACTGAGTCAATAACTGTATTATCAGCAACACCAATACAAAGTCTGTGTGTGTAAGAACTTCCACACACACAATTCCTCCTGAACTTTTTTAATAAACCTCGCAGAAGTATTGGTATTCATTTCTTTACAAAAAATACTTTACATGCACTAGTTGTAACAATTTGTTATGTTTCGTTATTTTGACTGCAAGAACATCAGGAATGCATGGTACGAAAAATAAGGAACATATTTAACCAAAACATACATATTTTGTATTTGTTGCATTTATTTGTATTCAAACTTAAATATTACTCCATTAGATTATGCAATATGTCAGACATGTTGGACATTGTACAGTAGTTTTTGTTTTTCTCTCATTCATAGTTTAGTATAGTTTTTTCTGCTTCTTATTGCACTTAAGCAGAAGAGGATCATGTATACGTTTATACCAGTGATGAGACTGCTGATAAGCTGCCCTCAAGGTTAAGACCAAGCGTGGCTGTGAGTAGGGACAAACAGTACAGTTGTGATCTTGTTCTGCGTGTTCAACAGTTTTTTTGTGTCCTTATTACTCTCCCTCCTCAGTGGCGAGTGGTTTTGTTCATTCTGCCGAGACCCTGTCTCTCCTGAGATGGAGTACGATTGTGACAGCAAGAATGACCCTGTCTCCGAAAAGTTCCCACCTGCAGATAGAAGGGTATGCCCGCTCATCTATTAACAGTTTTTATGTGTCCCTGTCTGATATTCTTCACTTACCAAGTCTAGTCAGTCTTTTTATAAGTATAATTCTTTTGTTCAAGACAAAAACATTTTTGTTTGATTCCCACAACCATCCCCCATCAAACAAATCCCATGTCATTGAGAAAAACTTTACGACAGGCATTTTCTATACATAATATGATCAATAAAAAATGTTTTTCCTCATGTATTTACAGAGGTGTGAGAGGCTGCTACTGCGACTATTCTGTAATGACTTCAGTACCGACTTTCAACAGACTGCTTCTCCATCAGTAAGATACAGTATTTTGTCAGTAGCGTTTTATCTTAATAAAATAATGTAAGAAAATGATTAAAGAAATATAACCTAACAAATTGAAACACTGGAGCCTATAGTGTTAAAATCTCCTGTAGATGTATTATTTTGCTGACATTTGTACTTGATCTATTGTACTTGTTTTTGATAAAGTGGAACGTTTTTGCAACTCATTTTTATGGCGGTGAAGACATTTCAGATTATATTGTTTACAGTAGAGGTGACAAAGAATTGCTGACTGTTGATTGGAAGTCAGCTGCTTCACTTCACTTCTCACTGAAGGATCTAGGGTGAAAGCATCCAATAAGAAAAAACAGCTACATTCAAAAGAAAAGTGAGAAAAATAAACATGAACAGTTTAAAAAATATATTGTCTCAAATATTTCACCCACTTTGGAAAAATACACTACAGTTATTTTATATAACATCATACTGTGGTGTAGCCATGCTTTTATTACAAAATTATGTGTTTGAAAGTGGGTATTAATTTTTAAGAGCTGCTGCTGTACTGCTGAACGTGCACTGTTTTTCTAATATAGGAGACAAAAAGGTACAAAGAACTGATCAAGACTCCAATGGATCTATCAATAGTGAAGAAGAAACTGGAGTCCAGGTCAAAGGATGGAGAAGGTTATGTTAGTCCTGAGGGGTTCGTCTCAGATGTCAGGCTCATATTTTTCAACTGTGCGAAGTACTACAAGGTAGACATCCAATGTTTATATGTTACCACTTCTGCAAAAATGTATTGCACGTTTTTCTGCTTGTCAGCAAATATGACTAACTGCAATGTTTGATTTTACCAGGCAACCTCAGAGATTGGGAGTTCAGGCTTGTACCTGGAGGACTACTTTGAGGAACAACTGAAGCTGGTCTTCCCAGATAGGGTCTTCCCCGGAGGGAGAGAAGAACAGATGATCCCTCCCCTAGAGGACGAGATAGATGAAGAAGAGGACGAGATGATGGAGGAAGGTATGGCTCCCACTGAGGACAAACAACCACTAAGTCCTGCAGGAAAAGCAAACCCCCCTGTAGAGGAGGATTTGGCTCCTCTGGAAGAAGCAACAGCCCCAACGGAGGAAGAAAATTCAGAAAAAGAGGAGAGGGGGATTGATATGAGCAAAAGGGAGATGGACCAAGTCATAGCAGCCGGAGAGGTAGACAAACTTCCTACCGAAGAGGTAAAGCAAAGTGAGAAAGCTCCTGTGAATGGGATGAAAAGCTCCCCTGCTGCTGACAGTGAAACAAAAGACAGAGTAGCACCCATCTCCCAAAGAGAGGAGAACCCTCAACTTCCTACAGACAAGACTGCAAATCCAGCTGAAGCCCAGGGGGAGGGGTTGGCGCCTGCAGACACAGCCAGACAGGAAGAGGGATAGGTGGATCGCAACAGAGAGAAACTGTAGAAAAAATGGATGATGTTAGTCTTCCACAGAATTGGCCTCGCTGGGGGGACCTACATTTGCTGCAGTCTGACAGTTTGGTACTGTTATATTTACAATAGGAAAAATGGAACTGCTATAATAGACTTATTGAATTGGGGTTTTGATGTTGATGCACATAGAAGGGAGCAGAAGGGAGTTTTTGTGTGTTTTTGCTACACAGAGATTATAGTATTACTGTAACATAAAAGGTCCTGTTCGGCGATGAGAAGCACACAAAATATGTTCTTTGTTCATGTGCAAGTTATCAGCTACCTTGCATATCACATGTACATAGCTATGTCATGAAGGCTGCAGTCAAAAGGACAAAAGGAATTTGGATTAGTAATGCATGCAAGATGTCATAATATAAATAATAATGCCTCCAGTTCTCTGTTGATAGACAGCTCGCTTGTGTTTGACGCAAACTGTTTTACTGCAGTTTTATGTTATAGGAATGGTAGTTTAATGCCATGTAGCTATTGGATATGTACACTAAGTACTGTAGTTTCTGTACAGAGGACAGCGTCACATTCATCAGTGCTACAGTGTCTCCCTTGAAAAACCTGGCATTTTGAAAACGGAACTGTTTTGTTGAGAACAAAAATGACTCACCATTGTGGACTAATTTTCTGTGTTGCTGGTTTGAGGCGTCTTTGCCTCCATATGCCAGCAGTCTCTTATCATACAGAAGCCTAGTTGTTTTTAAAGAAGAGAACATTTCTTCCTGTATTGTGTTCATAGCAATGTTATCAGAGATAATTCATTGACATGATTATTACTTTAGCACCATCAGCCTCTGGCAAAAGTATATTTTCCAAATTGTCCTGGCTCTTCTGTCAAAAACGGACAAACACTAATATTCCACACTGATTTTTATTTTCCCCCATTAGTCACTTTATTACTAAATGGGGGATAAACAGGACCTGTGAATGAAGTCTGCAACCCATGTATTTGGAATAAACGGCTACTTGTGCTACGTTTTTGTTTACTTTTGTTTTGTTAATATCAGTATTGTTGCTATATATCATTATTTCTGAATCGTCACACTGATGATTCGCACGTTGACATTTGGCACGTGTTTTAAAATGTTTAAAGCAAAGCAGGAAATAACATCTGACAAAAACTTAGAAAAATCAACTGGACTTTTCTAAGTTTTTTCATCTTACTACGACCTGGATGACAGAATCTGCACGAACATTATTTGATAGTTATGTAGCTTTTCCGTCTGAAATCGCCAAATAACTTTACACCTATAAAGATGTTCTGAAAAATATTGCTATTTTTTACCCAAAAACATTTTTAGGGGTTGCTGGAAAAAAATAAAGACCAAAAGAAGTATATTGTTTTTGACTGTATGGAAGATTTTCAGACTGGTTAAGCATTTTTAAACCCTACGTAGACAGCACCTAGGATACTTTAGTGTTGGCGCATCGGTGCAGTAAATAAATCCTATTATCTGTCGTCCTTTCATCACCCAATGGCCTGATGAACGACAGCTCCCTCCACCCCGCCCCCAAACCGCAAACCTCATATGCAAAGAGATATGTGTCGCCTGTTGCGATGCTTTGGCTGTGAAGTTCTTCCTGACGGAGAAAGTTTCATAGCAGACACGCTCCCTTCGCCCCCACAGTTCAGCCTCTCTTAATGGTAATCTCAATAAATTACCCAATAGTAAAGTTTGGACCATTTAACTGGGCACACCGAGTCCGATGGCGCAGTGGACAATACTGTTATTTTCTCTATACGGAGTTCTGAAAGGACAAGGTAAGAATTTGAGCTCATTTAAAAAGTGTTAGTGGTTTAAATTGCCAATGATTTATTTTTGATGCTATAATATATCAAAGTGCTGTTAAAGTTAAACTGTAGCCCATTTAATTTAAACTTTATAACCGACAGCGTGAGGTAATAATTGTGTCAGTCACTGGTACTAAAAGCCAGACTTACTGTTTCTGCTTCTCCTGTGTATATCTAACCCCCAATGATCCAGACACTGCAGAGATTCATCCTATTGAACAGTGGTGTTGTCAGGACGGCAGGAATCGAGCCCTAAAAGGACAAGACTGTACAATCCTCCCCCCTATCTCCGACTCCCTCACGTGCAGGTAAGCAACACCTGGTTTCTTGCACTTGAGGGGCTTAACATGGGGCCCAGAGATTAAAGGATGGTCAGTACAAGGGGTCCAGGTAAGAGTAAGGATTATTGTAAAGTGGTATGAAGTAGTTTTGTAACTTGTATCTAACAAAGTCATTACTGAAAATGCCAAGTATATCCCACTGGATGCAGAAAAGTCATTGAATTTTGCAATGATATGCATATATCCTGTAGGTTTTAATGGCATATTTAAAAGCTGGAAATACCCTCAGGGCTGCTAGCCCCCATATCATCTCCACGGTCACTAAACCATCCATCTTGCTACAGGGGAGAGTTACCACATAACTACATAGTAAGTACAGGCATTAAGTGGTGCCCTGGAGCATTTTCAACCCTTAAAGGGTCCTGTTTGACTGGAAGAACATCGAGGTGGTGATTGATGAAACAGAGGAACATCTGGTCAACACATGGATGTCAGAGAAGGGGACATTAACTAAGGAAAAACAGCTAAATGAAGTATTTTAACATAAAAGGTAATAGAAGGGACAGCTGAAAATAGAAAACAGTTTTCATGCTGTCTTTTCTTGATGTCACAATAAGCTGACCAACTGCATTTAATGTCATTTTCTTTTCCAATTCTTATCATAGAATTTGAAGTGTCATTTCTGGTCTGAATGAAGTTTTTTTTGCTACAACTTTGGCATTTATTTTCAGGATTGCACAGGAGCAGTGTTGTACAGCAGTAATAGAAAACAACCTTTGTCTCAACGGTATCAAAATGGCCCTGGGGCAAGGGGCCTGTGAGAAGCCCTTCTTCCCTGGAAATCCCTGGGAAACCCAAATCTCAAAGGTGATCAAAGTCCTCAGCCTTTACACACCTCCTCACTGTTCTACACGCAGGCAGCTCACTTAGCTCTTTATAAATCATCACAACACAAAGACTTCTGAGATACAGTACTACTTCTTTTCACTTTTTTCTTTTCTTACCATCTTCTTGTTTAGATGTGTTGTGACTGCTGTGAACTCGGCCGGACTGCAGCAAACTGGGACTGGAACTGCAAGCTTCAGGGTCTGTTGCTGGGGAGACAGTGCACATACACAGCTAAAATCTGCTGTGGAAAAAACACAGTAGAGGAAGTTGAAGGTAAAAGATCCAAAATAATTGGTTTAGTCTTTTGTATGTTGATTAGCTCCAGTCTGCTTTATCATGTTTGTGACACACAAGTCAATGGGGGCGTTTGTAAAACAATCAATATACTAGGCCATTTGCACACATTAGGTGCCAAATGACTTTTAGCACAATATGATTTTATTAGCCCTTGGAGCAAAACCTTGACACCCACGCAGATTTCATGTGTCTCATAAGAGTTTAGGCTAAAAGGGCTAAAGAAATAAGTGAATCACATCAAAATAGGCAGAATCTTTGGGAATAGAGAGCATAAAGGGTTGGTTAAAGGGCCTTGGCTTGGAAGCTGTGGAACACATTGCTGCCAGACAGACAAAAAAACAGATAGACAGGCTAGATCCCAGAAGTATTTCAAGGATTTTATTGTCAATTCACCATATGTGCAGGACATATAGAAAGTCGAAATACCGTTTCTCTCTCACCTAGTATTGGGTGCCATAACATTTAGGGACTAAAATAGAGTAAAGTAGAATAAAAAAATAGAATAGAATAAGAACTGGATTAGCGTAATTAGGAGAAATCTAAACGGTACAGCCAATAAGCCGTGACTCAAAACCATGTACAGTCAGTGACAGTAGTGCAAAACAAATAATAGGAGATTGTCAGATGGTTCAGCATCACCAGGCGTTGGTGATGAGATGCAAATAGCATATGAGGTATACATGGATGGTACTGCAAATGACCAACAGCAGCAGATATCCCGGCAAAAAAAAACATTCAGCAGCAGATTTACATATAATATAACAGAAGGTAAAACAGCAGAGGTAGTTTTTTTATGTTTCCACAACAATCAGCAGCAGATTTACCTGTTATATAACAAATTGGGGGGAATGTATTGCATTTGTGCAAACAGCAGGGGTAGTGTTTCTATGTCTTTTTATGTTCTGTGGTGGGTTATGGTCCAGGGGCAGAGGGGGGAGGTAATGAACAGTGTTCAGCATCCTCACAGCCTGGTGAATGAAGCTGTTTGTAAGTCTGGTGGAGTGGGCCTGAAGACTTCGATACCTTCTCCCTGAAGGCAGGAGTCTGAAGTGGGAGTGTGCGGGGTGGGAGGTGTCATCAGCAATGCTGATGGCTCTGCGGGTGAGGAGGGTGTTGAAGATCTTTGTAAGGGAAGGCAGAGGTTCACCAATGATCTTGCTGGCTGTTTTCACTATGCATTGCTAAAAGGCTAAGCTGTGAACAACTTGCCAGATGGTGACAGAGGGCCAACTGGCAGCACGATGTGGCTTGTAGCTTTTGTCACCTAGTTGGCTTCAGGTGAAAACAAAACTTGTGAGGAGCACATAGCTGCAAACCACCTCATTTGAGTTATGTGGGGAAAAAAAGCAAATCAGGGTCTTGATATTGCAGAGCAAAGTCTAGAGTGATAAGAGCATACCAAAGAAAAGGCCACAGAAATTTGTGAAATCACAGTGTGTGACAAGGTGAACCCTATTGTTGTTAGTTATTTTGGTGCTGATCTGCATCTGAATTTGGATACAGGAATTAAAAAAAAAATCTTCATCATTGTGAGTGCTGGAAAGGCTGTTGACTGTACATGAGCCATCTTGTGGTCAAAGTGCATGACTGTTCTGCTCAGCACTTTGAGCACATATGGAGACAAATCCATGGGTTAGTGTGAAATGCCTATTCATTGTCAATGGAAAACAAGTGCTGTCACATAGTACACCCTGCTGTGCGACACAGGGACTGAAGGAGAACATTGAGGTGACAGCCTGGAGCTGGGGAAAGCGCCACTCTATGCAGTGACAGCCGGGTGAGAGCAAGTCAGGAATAACTTGATCACAGATGGTGATGGAAGAGATTTTGAGCCAGGCTCAAAGCTGTTATCATTTTCATCTATAGGACTGGTAATTTGCCACTTTATTAAGTTTTGACATTTTTCAGGAGACAAATGAATAAGTTAAATTGAGAATATACGTACTGTATATTGTCAGACTCTTTGAGTAATTCCGATTTAGCTGTGTTTGCAGTGTTGGAACCTAGCAAGCGGTACTCAACCGTGCTTCCCTTAATCGTCACCCGGCATAACCTCATGGTTGATGGGGACCATCCTACTTTGGTTTTCCACTGTATTTTTTCCTGTGTTGGTTTCTGTTTAGAGGGGGGAGGGGCTGCGCTCCTCTCACACACTCACAGCTGAGCAGAGAGAGATAGTACATGAAAGATCACTCCATAGGGCAACAATCAGCCGTAACAGAGATAGTTTATCAAACAGCTGTTAAACAAGCAAAATACAAACTTGCAGAAATGTGATGTGTTCGTTTTGCCCGCGGTCCATTTACTGAATCCACATTTTACCCCTAAACCAATGAGTGAATATCTGTCATGTCTATTGTTTTTACTGAATAACTTTCAACTAATAATGATATTAGCATCATTCCAAATGCCAGCAGCAGTTTTTCATAGGTGAGCAGTCATATTATGAGGGTCAATCTGTCATGGGAATATTGCTTTTAGGTGTAATAGCGTTATGGGGAAACTGATATTACCCTTTGGCAGAGGTTTGCACTTGCTGAGCGCTGTCTAGTTTTTCTGCATTGTTAAAAATAATAATATTTTTTGGTTATATCAAGACTTTTACATCACCACATCACCAGTGACAAAAATACCTCCAGCCAGTGTGACAACCCAGCCTCCAGAGGAACTGGGTGCCTGCAGAGGTATGGCACCTTCATCTCTAAATGTGATATTCTTTGTTATAGTAAGAGCTGTAAGAGGCTTAACAGCCTCTTGGTGGCTGCCTTCCTGACCATGGACACACACTATAAGATGTGATGTCTTCTTCATTTGTCTCTCTGTTGTTTTCAGGCTCCAATTGCTCCCAGCTGTGTGTAGGTAATGGCACATGTTCCTGCCATGACGGTTATCAGCTGCAAAAAGATGGGGTGACTTGTGAGGGTAAGTCATCACAGCCACAATTATTAACTGTAGTGAACTACTTCTTAGATAAGTGATTTTTAGCCATACCAGGGACATGCTTGTAGGGATGGTAATGCCAGTGTGATGGCTGAAATTTAGGACTGATGAAATTTGGTAGACATCCACCATGCTCATAAAAAAAAAACCTAGAGTTACTTAAACATCCACTGAGATTGTAAAGTTCAAACTAATACATTAAACTAACAGAAATTCCATATTGCCATCATATTTTCTACTTTTTTAAAAATCCTTTGAGGTTTGACTGACACTTTCTTAATTACATCATCTTGGTGCACATTCTTCTTCTGCGATCTCTGTTTATCTAACCAACTCCTGCTATTTCCATGGTGATAGTGGGTGGAAATGAGCATTAATTTGCATTTTCTGTGAGCATCTCAACATGCTGACTGCTATACCTGCTGTCTTGTTCATTTACCATAAAAACAAAATGTGACTGCGCATTCTACTGAAAAACACTTTAATAGATAGACTGGTTTTCTTATTTTTGACTGGATGTCTTTCTCCTCAGATGTTAATGAGTGTCTGACTGGCAGTCACAGCTGCATCTTGGGCCAAATGTGCATTAACACAGAGGGCTCATTTCGCTGTCAGAGGGAAATCAGCTGTGGCACCGGGTATGAACTCAGAGAGGACAACAGTTGCCAAGGTAACAAAGTAGGAGAATGTAGAAATTACATAAAAATATCCACATCACGATGTAAGTGTAGAGTCCCATGAGAGTGCCAAAAAAATCCATTCTAGTCCTGCTATTTTAGTTCTTGGATACCAAGTAGTAAAAATCTTCAAGGCAGCTCCTATAGTTAAATTATGTAAATTTATACATAGTGTCTTTATGCTTTGATTATGTTTTCACTTCCTGTTCCAGACATTGATGAGTGCGCTTTGGAGATCCATAATTGTGGACCAGACTTTTCGTGCACGAACACAGCAGGCTCGTTCCGCTGCCACCCGAAGGAGAAGTGCCCACATGGCTTCATTCAGGATGCTTTCGGCAGCTGTATTGGTGAGTTCAGTGTCACACACAAATAAAAACACTCCACAGGCCAAAGGTAACTTGGCTTACTTGATGTTTTTTCACATTAGACATCAATGAGTGTCTGGCCCACATGAGTCCTTGCCCACCTGGCCAGATATGTATGAACACAGAGGGCTCCTATACCTGTCGCAAGGTCACAGTCACCTGCGGACGAGGCTATCACCTTAGTGAAGATGGCACTCGTTGCGAAGGTAGATATGGTCACAAGTATTTTGTGTTTGTAAAGTCTTCGGAATTGTGTTGTTTTCACCTTATTTCATACTGATTTCCTTGAGAGGTGTGATTCCTCTTCATCTATGTCTCTTCCACTTTTTTGTTTACCTCTGTCTTTTTAAAGATGTTGATGAGTGTCATACAGGCAACGTGTGCGGTGAGCATGGCTGTGTGAACCTGGTGGGCTCACACCGCTGTGACTGCAAACGTGGCTTTGCCTTCAACAGCATCACCAAACTGTGTGAAGGTACAGTATTCATCACTATTTTTATTTCACTTATAAGAGTGAGTCATATATATCAGACATGAAAAAATATTTTGAACTGAGTTGGTTAGACTGAGTAGAGGAGAAAGAACAAAACAAGTGAACTATAGAATTTTATACTGTCATGATTGTCTCATTTATAATCTGAACTCTACTGTTGATTTTTAGATCAACAGTATTGTAAATCTCAAATTCATAATCTGTCCCTTGCATTCTTTAGATATCAATGAGTGCAGGTATTATCCCGGACGACTCTGTGCCCACAAGTGTGAGAACACAGAGGGGTCTTACCAGTGCAGCTGCACCACAGGTTTCAAACTGTCCCCTGATGGCAGAAACTGCGAAGGTCAACTCACATTTTATTTATTTTACTGAAGCACTGATTTCATCCACTTTGGGCATTTTCCTAAGAATGTTATTCCAATGTGTATGATATGCACCAATGAAATAATGCAGTTTTCACCCTTTTAAACATAACATGAAAAATAACATTAAAGAGCCCATTGCATGCTTTTCCTTGTTTTCTGACTCATCTACAATGTTACAACGGTGAATTATCATCTTAGACATGACCTAAAGCTAAAAAAAATCAGGTGTATGTATGTTCGAGTACCTCTATGCAGAAGCAGTTTGGTTTCTACAAGTCTTGCACACAAAATAAAGTATTACGTGATAGTTTAAGGAAATAGTTGAATGGTCATAATCTCCAGGCAGTTGCGTGTTCATGTGGAGTTACCTGACATTCACTGGTGTCATTTTAAAAGCAGAATTTTTTTGACTGCACATGGTTTTGTAAATATATTTTCCCTCCTGCTGGCTGCATTGTTACCAGAGGATGTGGAGAAAACTACAGGGCTTGAGGTTACTGAATGTCTGGGAATGTTCCTGAACAGGGACTCCTTGTTTTACCTGACTGGGTCTAACCTACAAGCAGCCGGCCAGTGAAGCACCCTGGGGTGGTGAATGATCAGCTCGACAAAGTTAGATTCACTCGGAGCACAGTAGCTGTTTATTTTGACTGCTTGAGGCCAGTGTGTCTGCTGCATGTGATGTGATGCAGGTTAACAAGAGGATTCTAATGATCCATGATGTTATTGTCGGTGATACGCTACCTGTTGGAATTAATTTCACTACCTTGGGACTGTATGTGGTCATGTGGGGGAAGACGCAGTGACCACCGGTTGGATTTACCAACCTTGGAGCTACTTTAAAGGGGGTGATGTTTCAACTACTCAGTGGGACTTAATGGTAAGTTTAAAAAAAAAAGGCATTGCATGTCTGTGTTTCTGTAATGTTGGAGAGAATTGTTTTAAGGCTGGAGAAGTTGCTGTATCTGCATTATGCCAGTCAAAATATGGGGTTTCTCAGTTACCTGTTTTGTTTAGGGTGTTACCTATCAATGAAGGAGAAATTAAAATTAATTAATGGTGTTGCCATTTGTGTGCTGTCCACTTTAGACACAACACCTGCTGCAGGAGGTGTGTGCGTTCATGAACTATCCTCCCATTTTCAGGAGGAGGCTCTCTGGTTTTTCTGGTTTAATCATTCTGAAATAAATACAGACTATTTGGAGTTATGATGGGTACAAAGATAATCTAGAGGTACTCAAGGTTAAACATTAAATGGCTGGAAATGAGCATACCATGGGCTCTTTAATTGAAATGGCTACAGGCTTCACAGATCTTTGTTACTTACTAAGGAAAGTTGGGCAAAGACTTGTTTTCTTGCAGTGAAAAGAAAACCTTTTCAGACACAAAAATTCTTAAGCACGCCAACGTTGTAATGAAGTTATTTTACCTTTGTCTCTATGCTGACAGATGTGAATGAATGTGAGGCCAACCCTTGTAACCAGGAGTGTGCCAATGTCTATGGCTCCTACCGGTGCTACTGTCGGCGTGGTTACCAGCTGAGTGACATTGATGGGATAACGTGTGAAGGTATATACTGTTGGCCTTTGTGGTGCTTAATGGTGGAATCGTGGGCGGAGCCAGAGGGCCCCTGGTGCCACCCCAGTCAGTATTAATGAATGAAAAATAAAAAAACAATATCAAATTGTTGCCTTAAATACAACTCACATTTTTCTGGTCCTATGGCGGGGTGGCGGGGCGGGGCGGGGGGCACTATGTAGCAGCGATGTCTCTTGCTGAGAGTTAATAAAAAACACAACAAACATTAGCTAAAGGAAGCACCATTTTTACACCAGATAAACAATTTGATTTGTAATAATGTATGGTTTATTATTTCATAGAACTAGGGGTTTCATTTACTTTTTACATGTGCAGTATTTCAAAGGTGCCACCTTTCTCTGAGTCTGTCTCCCAGCCTAAAATTTTATTTAAATTTTTATTTAATCTTCAATTTAAAAAAAAGATGCAGCAGATAGTTAGTCACAGTATATTTCTGATTCTCAAGTCTTTCTCTTCTGCTCCTCTCAGATATTGATGAGTGTGCTCTGCCCACTGGAGGTCATGTGTGCTCCTACCGCTGCTACAATTCTCCAGGAAGTTTCTACTGTGCCTGCCCACCCACTGGCTACACAGTTGCCCCCAATGGACACACATGTCAAGGTTACAAGTCAAACCTCATACTCCATGGATTTCATACATTGTCAGTGTTCAGAATTGGATGATTTTAATAATAATAATAATCATAACAATTATTTATGATTATTATTATTATGCTTGTTCAGTGCAAGCTAAATTGTAAGTATTATTTTTATTAAATGTCTAACTTTTGTTTTCTGTGTGTCTTCAGACATTGATGAATGTGCATCAGGAAGCCATACCTGTTCTGCCTCTAAAACCTGCTTCAATGTCCAGGGAGGATTTCGCTGTCTGTCTGTTGAATGTCCTCCAAACTTCCAGCAAGCAGCACATGGGTGAGAGCTGATGTCTGCTTAGTTATGAGAAACTGTTGAAAAAGAAGGGTTGATTGTCCCCAGATGAGCATGAGGCATCTAAATCATCTTAATTATGTAGTTGCATGATTTAGTTAAATCTTAAGACAGTCTTGTCATCTTATGCTGTTCTTCTTATTTGACTTATATTAGCCGTCCCTGGTAGGTTCGTGGTTAAGGCGCAGCGCTCTCACCGCTGCGGTCAGTGTTACGTCAGGAAGGGCATCCAGCGTAGAACACGTGCCAAACAAATGTCAACATGTGAGTCGTCAGTGTGACGATTCACTGTGGTGACCCCTAAAAAGAAAAGCAGGAAAAGCTGAAAGTGACTTTCTCTTATTTGCCGTGATGGTGATTTGACTGGTTTTGGTCTGCTTGACATTTATCTGCAGCTTTCAGTCTCTCGCTCTCCAGCTTTCATCTGTCCATTCCTTATTTTAGCACCTCTTTCTGTCCTACTCTCTGTGTGTGCAGCCTTTGTAGCCTTCCATCCAATGAGCCCTTCCTTTGATTTTTAACTTTCAGCCGTTGCGAGCTCGTAACTTGCGAGTTCACTCAGAATCCTGTATCATGTTTCTCACTTCCGCTGAGAATCACCTTCTACAGCATCAGCTTCCCCACCAACGCTCCTGTCCCCACTGATGTTTTCTGGATGGGACCCTCCAATTTTGTGCCAGGAGATGAACTGCTGCTCAACATAGTGTCCGGAGAGGAGGAAGGATACTTCACTGTGCAGCAGCAGGCTCACAGGAGAGTAATCTCCCTGTGGTGTGCCTTGTCTGAGGCCCAGGACTTCTTTCTGTACAAGGCCAAGATTGCTGTTTGTCATGCACAAGCAGCCCATCCATCCCTGAAAAGCATTTCCATAGCAGAATTATGTACATTTTAAAGGAATGGTTCAGTGTTTGAAGTACTATATCCCTATTTTCTACTCACGATTCGTTTATTATAAAGGTAGTTTTCATTTTCATCCACTCTTTTCTTCATACTGGTGTCACAGCTGCAGCTTTCCACCTACCCTTTAATGCTGTTAATATAGAGTGAATCTATAAAGCTTTTTTTAGTGCAAGAAAACACTCACATTCATTTAAGGCTAAAATAATATGCTACATCAGTCTATTATAGTGAAAATGATTATTTTAAAAAACTGTTTATTTGTATAACTAAATGAATAGCCATCTCTTCTTCTCTTCATCCACCTGCTACATTTTGGCAAAGGAATGGTCTGGTGCATAACACCCTTTAAAATTAACACTTGTATTTTTATATTTCAGTTTTTGTATGAATTAAACAAACAAGCTATACCATACTAGTTAGTGAGCTTCTAGTAGATTTAGTCATCTTTGATGAGGCCAGGCTAGCTGTTTCCCCTTTCCAGTTAAGCTAAGTTAAGCTAACTGGCTAGTGGCTGTATCAGTCTTCTCATCTAAAGCTTGACAAGAAAGTCAAGAAAGTTTAATTCTTGCAATGCCAGACTACTCTTTCTGGTATAAGAAGATTAACTTTAGTGTCAAAAAAGGCAAAAGGTCAGTATTACTGCATGGAGGATGCATTTCCACTAAAATGAGAAAATAATACACACATTTTATTTTAATTAAACAGTTTCAAATACTCTCTGTGACTTTTTAAGTACTTTAGGATATGATGTAGCAGTAAACAGGCATATTAGGATATGTCATCTGCCACTAGATGGTGCTCAGTAGCAGCACTACAACACTGTCAGTATTAGTATTGTTCATATGCAAGTATTGATGACAGCTCACTCTTCCTCTTCACTTTATGTATACTTTCTATGTGTTTGGAATTTAAAAATGACAGATAAAATGATTTTTCACTCTCTGATAACTAAACACACACACACACACACTAGTGTGGTTTCTACCACTACTCCGTTTCCTCCACTGTGGTCAGTTTTAATGTTGAAACCAATTTTTCCTACATCGTTTTCCAAGCAGGCTCACCATAGGATCAAACAGGCCTCGCCTTGGTGGACAATAAGAAAAATAAGCATGACACTTATTTATGGACACTTGGGGCCCAGCCAGCATCGTGGCTGAATTAATGGTGCACTGGCATTACAGCTCATATGATGGATGGCGCTTTTAGTGTTGGTATTGGGTGGTTATCAGTTAAGTTGGTGTAAAAAATACCTAAAGGCCAGTAGCTGTGTTGGTCATCTGGATAAATGCAGTGAGACAAATTTTCTACTGTTCCATTTTCTTGGTGGCTTTTTGGGATTTGGTGCATATGGAGATGATAAAAATACAAAGATATGAAATACATGTGAGTCCTAGATCTTTGGATTTTATGACTACCTAGTTTCCACAATGCTAAGTTAATTATTTTTATACTTGTTGAAGACTATTGAGTAGTTCAGAAATTCATTTATAATTCTGTCTTCTATCATGTGAATATGACACTGAATCACATCAAATCACATTAATTGGGACTTCTGGTTTTGTACGTTTTGTACCAGCCTGTTTTTCCTTGGTGGCATTTCGCCAGTGTGGAATACCACACAATCATCTCTGTGGCTTTGACCTCCAGCTTTTAGTGAACAACTTGGACTCACCTGCTTTCTGCTAATTGCATGGCTCTGCTCTTTCTGCAGTTTTTGAGGTTATGTTTGAAAGCACTACTTTCTTCATACCGGGGAACCCTCACAAACATGGTTTTAAGGTTTGGATTCAGGGTTTGGACTCTTTTTAAGGCACCCACTTGGTTAACCATAGAGGTCTATAGGGTTATTCAGGTGTTGCCAGGTTCTTCTTGCTGAACTCAACTGTGGAACTTTGGACAAAACTTTTTCTAATGAATAGTGTTGTGTACTGCATAGGCTGAAAGTGTGAGAAAGTCACACTTTTCATTTGGACTGTGTGTATCTGTTTGCCTGTATTCCTCTTCCCTTGGCACATTGTAAATCTGCCTTTTTCTCCTCATTTCTTTCCATCGTTCCTCTTTTGCATCTCTCAGATCCAGAAGAGATACTTCATTCAGTGTGCGCTGTATTAAGGCCTGCCAAGCTAACGACATTGGCTGTGCTCTCAACCCTGTCCACCTCATCACCCACAGTTTCCTCTCTCTGCCAGCCTTCAGAGACTTCAGTGGACCAGAAGGTAAGACAGAGAATGAAAGGACAGCCCTAAGTTCTGAGAAGGAGATTTTAGATGTGTTTGTGTGGGCGCAGCCTTAACGGCCTTGTTTTCAAGTTACATTGTAAAATTGCATATGATAGTGTGCAAGCGTGTCTATGATGTGGGTATGAATATGCCGTAGTAGTCTGTACTATATGATTAAGTCCTGTCAGTGGAAAGCAAGCATGTACACATCAAAGTTTGACTGTTTCCCATCATCCTTATTGAGGGAGGAGGCTGAAGGCTTAATGACATTACTTAGTTTGAATAAAACTCAGCTAAAGGTCATTTTGAACAAAGGTTTGTTGTAATACTTTTTCAAATTTCACCAGTTTTTTTTTTTTAGATTCTACTGGTTGGACAGATTATGGTTCTTTAATGACCTGTCATTAACACCCTCAGAATTCTATTACAAATCCACATATATAGTATGTAAAATCCATCATAAATTTTGAACACAATTGTCTACATAACAATGACTGCATTTTCAAATAGTCCAGGTTTTATTGAAAGAGAAACTAGATAATGTATCCCTAAACTAATTAGAGAGTCTGAGAGATTCAGTTGGCCTGGGATTGAAAGGGTTAACTCAGCAGCTTATATCCATCCATTATTTATATCACTTATCCTGAAGAGGGTCAGTGGGGGGGGGATGGAGCTTTTCCCAGCTGTCATTGGGTGAGAGGCGAGGTACACCCTGGACAGTTCGCTAGACTATCACAGGGCTGACACTTAGAGAGAGACAACCACACACACCCCTACGGGCGATTTAGAGTTGCCCATCAAACTAAGGTGCATGTCCTGGGAATGTGGGACAAAGCCAGAATAACCGGCGAGAACACACACAGGAGAACATGCTAACTCTGTACAGAAAGGCATCAGATTGGCTGGGGCTTAAACCCAGAACCTTCTTGCTGTGATGGAATAGCTCTAACCACTGTGTCACCATGCCGCCCTAACTCAGCAGCTTGTAACATCAAATTCTAGACCCAGTTGTAGCCTCACTGTAATCAAACCTTTCACCCACTAACCTGCCACAATGCAGAAGTTTCAATTACATATTTACATCCACAGAACAATTGTTTAATCATTACATACCGTAAATATCTAGAAGAATTTGTGTTTTGTTTCTGTCAAACCAATAAGAACTTTGAACCATTTCTTCCAACAGAAATAGTTTTCCTGCGGACAATTACAGCAGCAAACCATGCTCATCTCCCTGGTGCTACTGATATTTCATTTGAAATGCTGGCTGCAGATGACCAGGCCTCTTTTGATGTGGTGAAGCGTTCCCATCAGGGCACGATTATGGGTGAGAGGAAGGTGTCACACTTGGAACCAAGGAGTCAATCCTTTATCATATCACTTATTACATAGCATATACTCTCATATACATTTACATATATTTCTCCCAAAACTAATCCCTGTATTGATGTCCTCCCACAGGTGTAGTCCGGCAGGTAAAACCTGTCACTGGCCCCAGGGATCTTGTGCTGAAGGTGGCTCTGAACTATATCAGGTCAGGGGTCATTTCCTATCGCAATTTTGTCATCATCCATGTCTTCATCTCTGAGTACTGGCTCTGAGCTGACCTAAGAAGTGAATATGCATAGTCCATTAGCAATACAACACATGACTTGGCAATTCTGAATATCTGGAGATGCCACATTTATTGTGTGAATGTTACTTGCAAGATTTCAAGTTTTTTTTTTGCAAGTGTTTCTGATACACTCAATTTAGTTGCTGTAGCAACCAACCAGCCAAGGTTTACAACGGGTCGCTGTCTTTTCAACACAATAAACACTGTTAAACAAGATAACATTATCAAGAAACTGGACCAAGAGGCTATAGCCATGATAGCAGCAATGTGATGCTGTTCTTGGACACAGCAGTATATTAGTTAAATGCTAATGACAATGTTAACATGCTAATGCTTTTTATTTACCACATTCACTGTCTTAGTTTTGTGTGTTCGGATGCTACTATTCACTAATTAGCACAGAATTACAGCTGGGGCATGTGGTAATGTTATTAATATACAGCCATAAACCAAAGTACTTAACAAATTTAAAATGTGATCTGATGGTGTCACTAGATGAAAAGACCATTAATATCATCAGTATTCATCCTATGGACAACATGCATGTACAGTATGTATGCTTTTTCAATGAAATCCATCTATTAGTTGTCATTACTTCAAATGTCAGTCACTAATAAACAAAAATGTCAAAATGCTGGGGGTGCTAAAGGAAAAGTCTAGAGATCACCAGAGTTAGTAATGTTGATCCTCTGGGGAACATGCAATACATCTAATAGCTGTTGAGATATTTCAGTCTGGACCAGAGCAATGGACTAACCATGTTGAGATATTTCAGTCTGGACCAAAGCAATGGACTAACCGGCCAACACTGCCACCCATAGAGCCACACCTCTAGCATGACTAAAAGCTATTTTTCTTATTTGTTACCTTTAACCCTGATGTGTTCAATGATACATAAGCTACCTTTTACATGAATCAGTGTCATCTCCTTAACCACTGCCTTCTTTGTGTTAGTTGAATCAGATCTCGTTGTGTTGAGTGCTGCTATGAGAGAGTGCAGATTTGTTTGGTGTTTGCTCTATTTAATCTGTTTTGACATACCAGCTGTAACATGTTTCTTTTGGGGGGAAAAGCTTCATTTGTGTACTTTCTCCATTGATAATGTGTAAGACTTTACAACCATGTAAATAATAAAGGCTTGGTGAGTTAATTGTGTGTGTTTATTACTGAAGGTAGTTAGGTTGTATACCACAGCAAACTAAACCAACTGTTTTCTAGTTAGCATAACTGAGGTTTTCAGAGTAACTACAGTTTGGTAGGATTTCCTGTTTTTCCTGTAACTCAACCCTTTGGATTCCACATCATACCACTTCCAGTTTGTGTGGATATTTCCAGTTATTCTGTTAAAAAATTAAAAATAGGAATTCTATACTGGGAATGTTTGGTTCCTCAAATACCTCATCTCAAAGCTGACAAATTGCTTGAGGTATCTCTTACCATCCATAATCAGCTCTCTTCCACATCGATCTGCCTTTCACCACTGCTGTGCTGTGCCTGGCCAGTGAAAACACAGGGACTACCATAGGGAGGAAAATCCTTTAATCTAAAACTTGCCACTCTACATGGAAACCCCAAAGGCTTGTCATGTGGCTGTGTTGTTGCAGCTGCAACAATTGTCCCACTGTTTGTCTGGGCTGAATGAACTGATCTTCATAGTTTTTAAACATGGTTTTAGGTGAATGGATTTCAGATGTGTGTGCAGCTGCAGTTTACAGTTTGTACAGAATTTCTGTTTTGGCTGTAATATTGTGGGCTATGTTTTAAATATTGGTACATATATTTGAACACAGACCTAATTTAATAAAATGTGATGGAAGATGCCCACTTACCCCATAACACTCTCAAACACCTCATTATATAGTAGATCCATATCTGCTAGAGCATAAAGTGAATGTTTACACTACACACTTTGTTTCAGAAGTGTTTCAGAAGACTATCAATATCAGGCCAAGACCACTTTTACTGTACAACAGAGAAAACTGCATACAAGTTCCTTATAACATCAAACCATTAGATTAATCATGATCATTCAGCTAATGAGCAGTCATGATAATGTTTAAACCAGTCATGACTGAGTTGGATAACGGTGTCTGGACATATACCAGGCTGTTCATCAATCCACACGCTTTTGATTGCTAAACATTTTATTTTATTGTGGCCTGTGTGAGACATCTAGATTAAATGTTTAATATGTTATGTTTAATGCATCTTATTTTCAATTATGTGCATTTCATGTGCCTAGCAGCAGCAAGGTTCCGGGTTCGAGCCCCAGCCGACCCCGTGCCTTTCTGTGCAGAGTCTGCATGTTCTCCCTGTGCCTGCGTGGGTTCTCTCCGGGTACTCCAACTTCTTCCCATAGTCCAAAGACATGCAGCTTAGGTTGACTGATGACTAAATTGCCTGCATAGGTGTGTGTGGTTGTTTGGATGAATATGTTTCATGTTTCATCTGTCAGCAAGGCGAAAAAGACAATACAGTAGTTAAACCGGTGGGCTTCCCTGTGTCTCCTATAGTTGCCAAACTGTACTTTGAAGAAATTGAGGACAAAGCCCTGTCTTCCTTCACTGGTACCGCTCCCAGCCACTGGTTCCACTATGTGGATGACACACGGGTTAAAATCAGGACCCAGGAGGTAGAGGCTTTCACCAAGCATATCAACTCTGTGGATATCAACATCAAGTTCACTTGTGAGGATGCCAAGGATGACTGTCTGGCCTTTTTGGATTGTGCAGTCCACTTGGGAGGGGATAGAAGCCTGAAGGTAGAAGTATATGGGAAACCTACACACACGGACCAATATCTGTTTTTTGACTCACACCATCCACTTCAACACAAACTGGGAGTCATCAGAACTTTAAATCACAGGGCAGAAGAAGTGCCCACAACTGCAAAAGGGGCCAAGAAGGAGAAATTACACATCCAGAACTCCCTTAGGGCTTGTGGATACCCCAAGCAGGCCTTCACGAAAGCAAGGAAGAGGCCCAACACCAACAGAGAGAAACCAGAAACGAGGGGATAACACTGTCATCCCTTATGTGGCTGGTTTATCAAAGAAGGTCAAAAAGATCTTTCGCAATCACAATATCCCAGTTAACTTTAAGCCAGGAAACACCCTGCGGCAAACACTGGTCCACCCAAAGGACAAAGTACCCAGACACAAACAGAGTGATGTGGTGTATGCAATTAAGTGTAGTCAGGAGTGTAACGACTTGTACATTGGTGAAACTAAGCAGCCGCTTCACAAACACATGGCCCAACACAGGAGGGCCAACTCCAGTGGACCAGAGTCAGCAGTCCACCTCCACCTGAAGGACAAAGGACATTCTTTTGAGGACAGTGAAGTCCAGATCCTCTCCAGAGAACATCGCTGGTTTGAGAGAGGAGTTAAGGAAGCTATTTTCGTAAAAATAGAACACCCTTCACTAAATAGGGGTGGTGGACTAAGACACAACTTGTTATCCATCTACAACCCTGTTTTGAAATCTCTACCCAAACATTCCCACCCTAATTCACGCCAGGACAATAGGCGTCAGTCCACATGTGAGGGTTCAAAGACAGGTAACGATGCTCCGGGATTTAATGACTCAGTCGTCAAGGGACATTGTTGGCCACCAAAGGACTGAAACATCACCCAGGGGGATAAATATTTCCTGCTCAACACCAGTTAAACAGAACTGATGAAGCCTCTTGGATGAGAGGTGAAACGTCTTCGACCTAAAACCCTATGTTTTTTCATTGTACTATAACCTGGACGACTGAGAATCTGCACGGACATAGTTAAACTGGTGTGTTGGTTATACCAATTTATGAATTAATAGCTTTAACTTAGGAAGTATGCTATTATAACCAGAAGAAACAAGCGTGAGAAGGAGTTTTTTATTTGCCAGTCTATTTTATCTCAGACAAATTAGGATTACCAGCTGGGGAAAGTGGACGAGTATTACTTTGAGTCAGTTAGTTTGTGATCATTTAACTAAAAAGTTTCCTACTTTGAGTCCTGGCTTTTGTTTATTTATTGTTGGCACAGACCCATGACATGTTAATGTTCTGTGACAGCATCTTCAGCTGGGTGAAAACAGCAGCACATGCTCTGACTCCGCCTTCATCCCGAACCGAACTAATAGCGTGTCAGCAATGTGCTCTTTGAGTCTCGCCCATAGGTCTGACGCAGGCAAACATGGCAGCTTCCACTAACATCACTCTGGACATCTCAGCGTGTATCGCTGGCGTTTTGAAAGAAAAACATTGCCCCGAACACTTGCAAGTTTTAAGAAACTTTACGGCTGCTTTACGGGACAAGGAGTACAGGTGCGGACAAAGTCATTTTCTGCCTTTTTAAAACAAAACCCGAGGGTATTAGCTGGATGACTAAGTTAGCTTGTCCAGCTCTCAACTACGCACTGTCAAATGCAACGTGTAGCGGACTGGTCCATTGTCTGTGATTATTATTATTCAGACCAATTTGGTTCCATCAACATATTAATAAGCCTTAGGTTTGGAAGTTTATTTAGCCAGCTAACCGTAATATAATGCAAATGTGTGTACTTTCCTCACTTAGTAACGTTATGTTTAATTGTTGTCCTTCGTTAAGGACGACGCTGAACCTGGCTTCTAGCTTTTCCCCCTTAATAGCCATGAATATTGTACAGAGTGATATGAAATCTAGCTAATTGCTTCTTCTGCTCATTTGCTGTCATTCTACCTGCTCAGCATTAAAAAGTGTCAAGAAAGCAATACTCATATCTATCATATATGATAGGTTTGAATCTTTGCGGCCATTTTGTATGTAGTATTTGCAGTATTTTGTGACTTCCGTTACATACAAGGGCACTTACTCTACTTCACTGTCCATCCTATAGTTATTTCATTTCATATTATTAAGACTCCAAATAAGTCATTAGCACGATCTTTATAAATTCACACTGGCTATATTCCATGGTCAACGAGATATACACTTGTCAGATTAAAGCTGGACGCCAAAAATATGAATCAGCAAGTTATTCAATTCAAAGTGTTTATTTGTCATAGACACAGTTAGGAAACGTGTTTCCCTGTACAATGAAATTCTTACTTTGCCGTCCACATGAATGCTAGAAAAATACAAGTGAAATATAAAGTAGATAAATAAGTAACACTAAATCAAAGGCACTTTAAGCAGCAATATAATAAAAATATATAAGAATATAACAGAATGTATGCTGCATGGGAGCAGCATGTGCAGCAGTCAACAGTCAATGTGCAATTATGCATGTGCAAACTGAGAATGTAAACAGTACAGGTCGACAGTACATGATGTATTTCCTGGTAATAAACTCCTCAGCTGTTTAGGAGTCTGATGGCAGAGGGAAAGAAAGAGTTTTTCAGTCTACTGGTCCTACACTTCACACTTCTGAACCTCCTGCCAGAGGGTAGGGAGGTGAACAGTCTGTGCTGGGGGTGGGTGGGATCTTTGAGGATGGAGGCAGTTTTCCTACACATCCTGCGGTGGTAAATGCTCTGCAGAGAGGGCAGTGGAGTCCTGGTGATCTTCTCTCCAGTCTTTACCACTCTCTGCAGGTGCTTGCGGTCCATAGCAGTAGTGCTGCCATACCAGACGGTGATGCAGCTGGTCAAGATGCTCTCTTGATGCAATGATGCAGCTCTATTAAATAGAGAACCTACAGATCATAACAGCCAACTTATCTTAATCCCTCAGTTAGTTTGGATTTTCTAAAAGGATTTATAGACAGACATTGCTGTGTTGCCAAACATTATTGTACAACAGTTCACAGCTTTTGGATGTTACTGAACTGAGATATTTTATCCATGTTCTCTGTGAAATGTAACGGCCAAGTTTGGAATCTGTCAGTTTTCTCGTCCAGAGTAATCAAAGCATCTCAAAGAAACCTGAGTTACAGGGAACAACACAGAGTAAAAATCACACATTTTTCTGTGAGGCAAATTTTCTATGGTTCTACCTGCTCAGTATTAACACAAATCTCAAGAAAACAATGCTCATATATGACGGGGAACATCACTGAATACAAAGAAAATTTACAGTATTATTTTCTTGTCACCCCCTCAATATGGTACATGGTCATAAAATGGTTAGTTGCTTATTGTGTTTCTTAGTATTTAGGAGTAGTCTTTGATGTTCCCTGCCATATATTTTTGTTGAGTATTGTTGTATTGAGTATTGTTTTCTTGTGGCTTTTTAATACTGATCAAGTAGAGCCATGGAAATTTAGCAGAAATAGCAACTGGCGACTAACCATTTTGTCATATGTACCATTTTCAGGGCAGTGTAACAGGAAAATGCTGCAGTGAATTGTTTTATTATTCAGGTTATAATACTCTGTGATGTTCACTGTCATATATAAGTATTGTAATCTTAAGACTTTTAAATACTGAGCAGATATAATGTCAGAAAACAGCAGAAATAGCAATAAGAGGCTTACCGTTTTATGCCAATTTACATTATTTAGAAGGCTGTAACTAAAATGATACAGTTCTTAATATTCATGATTATGATTCTCTGCGATGTGTCCTGTTGTATATGAGTGGTTTTTTTTTTTCTTGAGACCTTTTAAAACTGAGCAGGTGAGATGATAGCAAATGAGCTGAAATTAGACATCATGTCACACTATACCATATTCAGGGGTATTAAAAAATTATGCATCAAAAATAAGGATTAAAAATGAGAGTTTTAACCTCTAGAGTCCCTGCGTCCTCATATGAGGACCGCACAGCTTGGGTTTCCAAAGCTCAGGACTCTAGAGGTTAAAGTCAAAGTTGCTATTATTGGAATTTATTCTTGGGAATTTATTCACTTTTGCGTATATTGTATGTTGTTTTAAATCCATGGGTTATCTTAAAATTCACTGAACAATCCCTTAAAATTCCCAGAAAATTCAAATAAGACACTGTGAATAAGAAGCCAGGTTCAGCTGTATGTTTACACTCATTTGAAGACGGCATTTCAGAATAAACACAAGGGATCTACAATTTAAGTGAAAGCTCTTTCTGTGTACTCGACCTTTTTAACTTTGTTTCTGGCAATTCTATTTTCTACATATTTGCACCACAACTGACTCCTAAGTAAGTTCAATGCCACTGGAATAAGATTAAGCTACCAACAGCATGAACAGCATTTCCTCATTTTTTGTTGTGCAAATGACAAATGCTAGTTAAAATTTTCCCCAAACTGCCACAGTTTTAGGCACCAAAGAAACAAGACTCTCCTGCTGTACTGATGGTGCCCAGAAGTATTTTTCACAGCAGATATCTTGAATGTCATAATGCTAAAAGCATACTTAATAAAGTCTATAGTATCTTTTTCCAAGCAGTTATTGGAATTCAAAGCAGCAACAACAAGCTACACCTGTGTTTGACAAGTCAAAATGCCTGTTGTAAAACATGTCTGTTCTACTTTAGTTTAACTCCACAACCCCCCACTGGTTGCCCCCACTCTTTGGAAACCACTGCACAAAATTAAAATTGAAGTTGTCCTTTTCTGTGTTGGTCAACCTTCTGTTCTCAGGGATGCTGTGGAAGAGAAGGCATTCTTTAGTCTCATGAAGGTTTTGTCCAGACTCTGTGGTGAGCTTCAGGCTGCCAGCAGAGACAGTGAGGACCTGCAGTCCTTTGCTTTGCAGCTTCAGCTGACTGCTGAGTGTTTTAGGGCTCAGCGAAACGCCTGCGTCCAGAGCGCACGCAACCAGAGTTTGCTCAGGTAGTTCCTCGTTCAATGCAGTGGTAATGAGATAGTGGAAAAGAAAAACTATTAGGGTGCTCTTCACTTACAGCTATTCTTAGTTAAGTAATTGTCAGAGTTTGACCAATTAATTAGTTGACATAATTAAAACTGTCAATTTGTTTCTTAGTTATTTTTCTGTGATAAATGCAGACATATAGAAGGATCTAGAATTGGTAGATGAGAGAATATGTGAAAATTACAGGAATCAACAAGACTACCAGATTGTACAGTATGTTGCAAAATTGTCAGCTTGATTACGGTGCTACTGCATTAGATTGCATTACTGTATATATTATGTGTGCATGTTATTGTGTCCACTTCCCTTTAATTTCTGTGACAAAGGAAGTTAGAAATGAAGAATCTAAATATACAGTTGGCACAAAATAATCTCACAATCTTTTTCATCTAGGGAGCTTGGTTTTATTGATGTATCGCTTAAACTTTTGAGCTTCCTTCTGAACACAGATTTGGAGAACAGAGATGACCTATTTGAGCGTAAGTCCTGTTTGGGTCATTGACACCTAATAAAATCTATTGATCTTAAAAAGCAACCTTTCTAATATGAACCTTTTTTATTGTAAATTGTCCAGCTCTTCGCTGTGGGATCCAATTCCTTGGTAACTTAGCTGTGGGAAACCAAAGGTGTAAAGATGACATTTGGCGGCTGAGCTTCCCAAATCTTCTCCTGTAAGTTTTGTGTTTCACAGTAGTAGACAGAGTGTTTGTACCTCAGTACTAGAAGTTTTTAAATAGCTACTTCAAATGTGCTGAATTTAATGTCTTTATAATTCAAACTACATTTATTTAACTTTATAATTCAAACTACATTTGTTTAACTTTAGTCTTAATGTAAACTGTTTGCAGGGGGCTTGAATTAGTATGAAGGACAGGTTTAGCCTTTATGGTCTATATCAGTACTCCTCTTTTATTTGTGAAAACTTTATCACAGACCTATGTAGCCAGGCATTTGTCCTCAACATGTGAACAGGCAGCTGCTCTGTGTTGATGATGAAAAAGCGGTAAACTACACCTCTATGGTACTGCACACATGTCTGGATGAAGAGAAGGTAGAAGAACTGTCTGAGCTGCACAACATGCAGCTGGCGCTCAGGGTGATGGAGCTCTGTAGGACCCAACCTGACCTGGACTGGACGTAAGCGTGTGTCTGCATTGGCTTGCATATTGCAGTTGTTAGTAAGAATGTTTGTACATGTAAAGAGTTTCCAGATGTATGTATCATTTCAAGGTATTGTCTACTATTTTGTGTGACGTGTCGGTAAAGTTTTTATTTATTATTTATTTAATTTACAGGGTTCTTATTGCCACCCAGCATTTCCTCAAGTCTTCAGCTCTGGTGCAGAACATGTATTCTGGGATGTCTCACCATGAAAGGTACTTCACTTTTACTGTAATCGCAGACAGCTCCACAAGAATAACTGATACAGAAAATGTTGCTCTAGACCTAGATCATTGTTCAGAAACTGATAAACTGCTAATGTTGGTACTGTTAAACCTCATATAAAATGCTTTTCTGACTATGGATCAGTGATTTTATTGGTTTGGATTTTGATACTACAGACCAGTCTTGACCTTAGAACCATCTCTGCATCTTAGTTAAATCTTATGTTAATCTGTAATCTTATGTTCATTAATTATTATTATTAAACTTAAATCTGATGCCTTATTCTTCAAGCACTATAGATATGTATTATAGATGCCTGTGTGTGTTTTCCAGAGTCACTCTATTGGAACTGCTTTTAGCCCAGCTCAGAGAGGAGGATGTTGAGGAGTGTGATATCCCACCCAGCGTGGCTCATTTCCTGGCTTCCTCCTTCCAGAAAGGTTGTGGAGCTGTGCTGACACTGGCCACCGGTTCTGCTTCCAGTGATGAGGTATAGAAAGAGAAACCATAACTGAGGACTTTGATTTAAACTTTGTGAAACTTTTGGAAAGATTTGTTCAGTTTATTTTAAAATGTCATGTTAAAATTGTTTTAAATTGGGGAACAGACTGAGGCTGACATTACCAAAGAACAGGTTTTCCCTTTAACATTATCTGTCCCAGCACATCCTTTCTCCATGTGCCGAATACCTGCAGGTTTTGCAGGAGGCACTGACAGTGATTAGCCTGCTGGACGTGCTGTGTGAGATGACCTCAGACCACAAGCAGTTTATGGTCCTACAGGACCATCCTGACCTTCTAGTGACCACTGTTGGTAAACGAAAACACACTCACACAACCTCTATGAGCGGCGTCTGATTTGGCTGCCATATGGTACATGCCATCTGTTCAACCAAGTTCAAGTGGTTCTGTGAAAGACCCAGATCCAGTCAAATCACTTGCAGAAAACAAATGAAGGATCCACACAACCACACCCTCTGCTGAGCAGCAATAAAGATGCATCAGCATTCAAATACAAAATGTTTCAAATCACTAAAATCAGTGCTTAACGTATCTAAACTAAATGTATTCATTCAATTTCATCATAGTTTGAGTAATAGTTTGAAATTAAGCTAGGAGTAAATTATTTCTCTTTCTACATCTCCCTGCTTTGTGTGCTTTCCCCTTTTCACCCTTTACATTTGTCTACAGAGCTCTTGAAGCAGGTGCATGCCATTGGAAAGGCCAGTAGGAATATTTTTAGTGTTGCTCAGAACTTCTCCTCCTCCAGTGGAGATGAAGGCCCTTCCTCCCATTCTCCTGTCATCAGCTTCAAGGCCCACCTCATCAGACTGATAGGAAACCTCTGCTACAACAATACCAACAACCAGACCAAGGTTTGGAATGGATGGATGAAAGGACAGATTTATTAAGTCATGAAGTGCCAATCTTAAAATACACTAAAACCAGACTGAATGGCCTTTTTTGAATTTAAGTGCTTATGTTTATCCACATTGTGCATAGGCCATATAGACTAAATTAGTCCACATAGGTTTATGGCAGGTTTCCTGTGCAGGTCAGCAAAGAACATGTGTTGTTCTGTGGTCCACAAACACGCATGAAATCCAGGGCTACTGAAATGCATGATTTTTTTTAAAGCTATAAACCTACTGCCATTTCACATGTTGTAATACTGTTGTTGGGAGTTTCCAGGTGGCCAGTAGTATAATATATGTGATACACATTTAACAGTAGCAGGACTTATGCTGTTTTTATACAGTGGTTTTTAAATGAAATACAACCCCATATCAGAAAATGTTGGGATGGTCTGTAAAATCCAAATTAAAACTGGAAATATTGAGCTATAAATTATCTGTGTCCTGTACTACATTGAAAACAATACAGCAGCACGTTGATGTGATACCTCATCAGTTTTATTTTTTGTTCAGAATAATCACACACTTCGGTCCTGATGCCTGAAACGCATTCCAAAAAAGTTGGGACAGTAAAGCATTTACCACAGTGTAATGTTGCCATTCCTTCTCACAACACTTATAAAACTGAGGACACCAAGTGATTAAGTGTGTCAGGTGTAATTTTGACCCTATCCTCCTGAAAACAAGTTCCAAACAAAGTGTTCAACAGTCCTGGGTCTTTGTTGACTCAATTTGTGTTTCAAAATGCACCACACATTCTCTTTTGGGGACAGGTCAGGACTACAGGCAGGCCAGTCCAGCACTCGCACCCTTTTCCTCCACAGCCAGGCCTTGGTAATGCGCACAGTATGAAGTTTTGCACTGTCTTGTTGAAAAGATGTCATCTTGAAGGCAACATATGTTGCCCCAGAATCTCTGTATTTTTCAGCATTAATGGTCCCATCACAGAAGCGTAAGTTACCTTTGTCATGGGCACTGACACAACCCCAGACCATGACAGACCCTGTCTTTTGGACTTGTTGCTGGTAACAGTTTGGATGGTCCTTTTCATCTTTAGTCTGGAGCACACAGTGTCCATTCCTTCCAAAAAAAGACCTTAAGTACTGATTTGTCTGACCACAGTACATGTTTCCACTATGTGATGGTCAATCCCAAATGCCCCCGAGCCCACAACAGTCAACTGTGCTTCTGGACACTGTTGACATAGGGCTTCTTTTTGGCACAGTACAGTTTTAAGCGGCATTTATCGATGGAACTACATATTGTAGTGCTTGACACAGGTGTGCCAGAGTAATCCTGAGCCCATGTGGTTATATCGCTTATAGAAGAGTGACGATTCTTGATGCAGTGCCATCTGAGGGATCAGAGAGCACGGTCATCCAGCTTATGCTTGCACCCTTGCCCTTTAGGCTCTGAATCCCTCCAGATTCCTTGAATCTTTTATGATAACGTATCTAAATCCCTTCCTATCTTTATTTGAAGAACATTGTTTTTAAACATTTCAATAATTTCTCACACATACAGTGCCTTGCGAAAGTATTCGGCCCCCTTGAACTTTGCGACCTTTTGCCACATTTCAGGCTTCAAACATAAAGATATAAAACTGTAATTTTTTGTGAAGAATCAACAACAAGTGGGACACAATCATGAAGTGGAATGAAATTTATTGGATATTTCAAACTTTTTTAACAAATAAAAAACTGAATAATTGGGCGTGCAAAATTATTCAGCCCCTTTACTTTCAGTGCAGCAAACTCTCTCCAGAAGTTCAGTGAGGATCTCTGAATGATCCAATGTTGACCTAAATGACTAATGATGATAAATAGAATCCACCTGTGTGTAATCAAGTCTCCGTATAAATGCACCTGCACTGTGATAGTCTCAGAGGTCCGTTTAAAGCGCAGAGAGCATCATGAAGAACAAGGAACACACCAGGCAGGTCCGAGATACTGTTGTGGAGAAGTTTAAAGCCGGATTTGGATACAAAAAGATTTCCCAAGCTTTAAACATCCCAAGGAGCACTGTGCAAGCGATAATATTGAAATGGAAGGAGTATCAGACCACTGCAAATCTACCAAGACCTGGCCGTCCCTCTAAACTTTCAGCTCATACAAGGAGAAGACTGATCAGAGATGCAGCCAAGAGGCCCATGATCACTCTGGATGAACTGCAGAGATCTACAGCTGAGGTGGGAGACTCTGTCCATAGGACAACAATCAGTCGTATACTGCACAAATCTGGCCTTTATGGAAGAGTGGCAAGAAGAAAGCCATTTCTTAAAGATATCCATAAAAAGTGTCGTTTAAAGTTTGCCACAAGCCACCTGGGAGACACACCAAACATGTGGAAGAAGGTGCTCTGGTCAGATGAAACCAAAATCGAACTTTTTGGCAACAATGCAAAACGTTATGTTTGGCGTAAAAGCAACACAGCTCATCACCCTGAACACACCATCCCCACTGTCAACCATGGTGGTGGCAGCATCATGGTTTGGGCCTGCTTTTCTTCAGCAGGGACAGGGAAGATGGTTAAACTTGATGGGAAGATGGATGGAGCCAAATACAGGACTATTCTGGAAGGAAACCTGATGGAGTCTGCACAAGACCTGAGACTGGGACGGAGATTTGTCTTCCAACAAGACAATGATTCAAAACATAAAGCAAAATCTACAATGGAATGGTTCACAAATAAACATATCCAGGTGTTAGAATGGTCAAGTCAAAGTCCAGACCTGAATCCAATTGAGAATCTGTGGAAAGAACTGAAAACTGCTGTTCACAAACGCTCTCCATCCAACCTCACTGAGCTTGAGCTGTTTTGCAAGGAGGAATGGGCAAAAATTTCAGTCTCTTGATGTGCAAAACTGTTAGAGACATACCCCAAGCGACTTACAGCTGTAATCGCAGCAAAAGGTGGCGCTACCAAGTATTAACTTAAGGGGGCTGAATAATTTTGCACGCCCAATTTTTCAGTTTTTTATTTGTTAAAAAAGTTTGAAATATCCAATAAATTTCGTTCCACTTCATGATTGTGTCCCACTTGTTGTTGATTCTTCACAAAAAATTACAGTTTTATATCTTTATGTTTGAAGCCTGAAATGTGGCAAAAGGTCGCAAAGTTCAAGGGGGCCGAATACTTTCGCAAGGCACTGTATGTTGCCAAACTGGTGATCCACAGCCCGTCTTTTCTCCTAAAGGGCTAGAACTTTCCTGGATGCCACTTTTGTATCAAATTATGATTGCAATCACCTGTTGACATCACCCGTTTCAAATGGAGTCATCATTTCATTGTTTTACCTCATTACTTGCCCTGAAATGCAGCAATCCCAACTTTTTTTGCAGTGGCATCAGAATTGAAATGAGTGTTTATTTTGAACAATTGATGAGGTATAATATGCTGCTGTATTGTTTTCAATGTTATACAGGGAACAAATGATTTAAAAATCACTATTTTCAGTTTCAATTTTGATTTTACACACTAGTCCAACTTTTTCTGATTTGGGGTTGTATCTTTGGCTTTTACACTGTCAATCAGAGAAAAGAACTTACTTCATCTGGGAAACTGTGTTGGTCATTTCTCAGTATGGAATTTAGAGAAGAGAAATGCATAGGAACCTGTGATATATGTGTATGTGTATATGTATGTATGTATATATGTACATATATAGTCAAGGAAAAAATTATTTGAACCTCATCTGATTTTGTAAGTTTGCCCACTAACAAAGAAATGATCAGTCTACAATTTCAATGGTAGGTTTATGTGAACAGTGAGAGACACAACAATAACAAAAAAATCCAGAAAAATTCATTACAAAAAAAGTTATAAAGCAATTTGCATTTTCATGAATGAAAAAAGTATTTGATCCCTTTGCAAAACGTGCTTGGTGGCAAAACCTTTGTTGGCAATCACAGAGGTCAGACGTTTCTTGTAGTTGGCCACAAGGTTTGCACACATCTC